GAGAGATTGAGTACTAGTAATCTTAGGGAAGAGTGTAACTAATTACTCGAAAATCACGCTGTTTTAGCGATAAAGCAGCGTGTTTTGATAGGAGATAGTGCCATCTGTGTAATTAACTAAGTTCTTTATGTAGAACGTGTTTTTAGCGAGTTTCAGTTTCAAGTGGTTTATAGCTTAGCATTGACGTTAGCACATAATAGATGCTTTTCAAGATTTGAAAGCCTTGTGTTAGTTATGTTTCCTATTTCCTAAGTGCTGAGGAATTAGAAAATCAGTGACAGGGTCAGGAGCCTAGTGCTACCATACTGGTGTCATCTGCAAATCAGTGAATCTGTTCGTATTGGGTTTACCTTTTATACTGGTCCAACTGGGTAGAGTTGTAGTAAGCTTGAGTTGTTAGCTTAGAAAAATATGGATGACCAGCCTAGTACAACTGGTCAAATACACCACCATAACTGCGTTTCAATCTCAAACTTGGGGGGGGGGGGGGGGGGGGGGAGCTGATGTAAATAAATTCCTTACTGTCACAGTGAATGTCACTTACATCTTTTTTATATTTTCTATTTGGTTGTTTTGGTCATCCATGACATGAATAACCTTGTAGTGCTCTTATAACATTTCTTGACTAATGGCATGAATTAATCCATGTTGTATTCTGATTTTGTTTTATATCTCTTTGCAGATCTTTGGCACTGTCTTATCCACATCATAAGATGGCTCTTCTAATGTAACACTTGAGATTCTTGATCTCTTATTGTCCCATTGTTGATGTGATAGTGATATTTTCTGTTGCCTGTGGCATCATCTGGGTTGGTTTTGGTTCCTGTTTGCACATTGATGATTGTTTCCAGATTGAATCATTTCCTGACGTGCTAACAATCCGCTTCTGAGTTTGGTGCTCAACTGAGAGTGCGTGGAAAGCTCTCTTCTGCTGCCATCTCTTTTGTTGATTGTGACGCCCAACTGTGTTTCTTGACCTTTTATGTCTCGTAACCTGGATAATTGTCCTGTTCAGACCCAGATGGCTGTGGCAATCTTCAAGAGCCCACTTGGCGGGGAGTACCATGGGAAAGGTAGGATGGAAGGGAGATCGACTGGGAGGAGACGTGTTTTTGTTCAAACCGAGACTGGTTGTGTACTGGGGATGGAGTTAGAACGCAGCGACAATGCACATACTGTGAAAAGAAGGTTGCAGCTTGCACTTAACTTTCCAGTTGAGGAAAGTTCTTTGACATTTGGTGATAGGGTGTTGAATAATGACCTTAGTGCTGTTCGCAATGATTCACCTCTACTGCTGAGAAGGAACTTTATGCATCGAAGTTCATCAACTCCATGCCTTTTACCCACAGGGAAGGATCATATCCAACCAAGAGATCAAAGTGGTCCCATTGAAATACTGGGAAATGTAGGTCGCTTTGCTGAGACAAAGCAACTTATCCAGGAAATTGTGAAGGCAATAAAGACTGGAGTAGATCCACTTCCTGTTCATGGTGGACTTGGAGGGGGGTATGTTTTCAGAAATAGCAGAGGTGAGAGTGTTGCTATTGTTAAGCCCACAGATGAAGAACCATTTGCTCCAAACAATCCTAAAGGATTTGTGGGCAAAGCCCTTGGGCAGCCAGGCTTAAAACGATCAGTCAGAGTTGGGGAAACAGGGTATAGGGAGGTCGCTGCATATCTTCTTGACAATGATCATTTTGCCAATGTGCCAGCTACTGCATTGGTGAAAATCACTCACTCAGTCTTTAATGTCAATGATGATGTAAATGGAGACAAGCCTCACAGCAAGAAGCAACTTGTGAGCAAGATTGCATCTTTTCAACAGTTTGTTCCCCATGATTTTGATGCTAGTGACCATGGAACCTCAAATTTTGCCGTTGCTGCAGTGCATCGCATTGGAATATTAGACATTAGGATTTTTAACACAGATAGACATGCAGGGAATCTTTTAGTTAGGAAGCTTGACGGTATTGGAAGGTTTGGTCAAGTAGAGCTCATCCCCATTGATCATGGGCTCTGTCTTCCAGAGAGCTTGGAAGATCCGTATTTTGAGTGGATCCATTGGCCCCAGGCATCTATTCCGTTCACAGATGATGAACTTGAGTACATAAAGAAACTTGATCCTATTCAAGACTCTGATATGCTACGAAGTGAACTCCCTATGATTCGCGAGGCTTGCCTTCGTGTCTTGGTCCTTTCCACCATTTTTCTCAAGGAAGCTGCTGCTTATGGTCTCTGTCTTGCGGAAATTGGTGAGATGATGACCAGGGAATTCCGCAGTGGGGAGGAGAAACCAAGTGAGCTCGAAGTTGTTTGTTTGGAGGCAAGAAGCCTGACTGCTGAGAGGGAAATTCTTTCTCCTAAGACTGAAGTGGATAACGAGTTTCAGTTTGACATAGATTGCGAAGATTCTGGATATGAGTCTAGTCCCAAATTAATCTCTCAGGATTTCACGAATAGAAACCCATTTCATCTCCCAATTGGAGGAAATGGCTGCTTCCCACTCTCTAAACTAGATGAAAGTATTGAGGAAGTGGAAAGGGACGAAGAAGACGAGAAGAGCTTTAATTATGTTCCTTCCCCAACAAAGAACATTGCTGTGTCAAAACTTTCAATGTCTCTCAAGAACACCAGCTTAGGTGAGAAGAAACTGAAATATCCTACTATCTCAGGAACAAAACCAGAAAACGGCTATCTGTCTAGTTCTTCCTCTGGACATCGCAGTGCAAATGAGCAGCTTCCTGCAAGTGTCACCTTTGTGAAGGTATCAGATATGAATGACGTCGAGTGGGGTTTGTTTCTAGAGAAGTTTGAAGAGCTTCTTTACCCAGCTTTTGCCAAACGCAAGTCTATCACCCTTGGTCAGAGGCAGATGCAAAGGCTTGGAACTTCTTGCCAGTTTTGAGAATCGAGGTATTACTATATTAAGTATGACTTATGCCTAAATAAGACTGAACGAAGTTGTGATAGAGTGCGGGAGTAGGAACGTTAGAATATGCTGTAAATATTTTTGGAGACAGCCGAGTTGAAGGGCTGAGTAGAATTGGTTGTAGATTTTCTGTTTTCTTGTTATCTTCAATCTTTCCCCCCTTTTTAACTCTTTGTTAGATAAATAATTTGTAGAATGTAATTCGAGAAACGACAAGTTATGTACATATTGGATGCCTTCTTATGATTTCTATGCCTCAACTTGCTTTAGACATGGATTTTCTTTTTGATTTACCTGTTTAGTGGTTTGTGTTGTGTTTCCATCAAACAATATATTGAGTTGTGTCTTACCCTTCGGGGTGGCCCAGTGGTTTTGGCTTGGGACTTTCATGTTGGAGGTCTCAAGTTCGAAACCCCTTTGCCAGCGAAAGCAAGGGGTTTGCCTTTTGGGTTGAGCTCGTCGCACCGGGCTTGCCTAATGCGGGTTACCTCTTCTATGTGGTTTGTGAGCTATTTATTGCATAGGAGCGAGAGTTTTATTCTGTGCGCATCCAAAGAGTAGCGGCTGCGGGTTTTCTTGTAATAAAAAGAATAAAATATATTGAGTTGTGTCTTTTGGCATATTGTCATGTAAGTCCAGGTTGTATATTTGTATTCTCTTTCAGGTGGAAAAGGAAGACAACACTTGTTACACGCTAAGCAACACCATTATAGTAAAGGCAACAAAAAAGTGCAGGTTGGGTCCCTATAAGAAACTAGTTGCCTCTTTAATGATTGATATAGTTTAATACTTAACATCATTGAAGAAAAATTAAGTGGAATCCATATAATAAAGTAGTACTTACTAATTAAATTAATTTGATATTGAGATGTAAACTCAAATCAACAAAAGTGAAATATAAGGGATCGGAGTGCAGTCAAATCTCTTCATTTGACCAGATTTTTTTTTTATTGATATAATAGAATATTATACATAATAGGAAAGTTGGTTTAAAAACAAACTTGATTGTTTTAGTGAAATATTATTGTAGTCGATATTACCTTTTGTTTAGGTTATCATATATTTGTTTTTTTCTCCATTATTTCCAGTATTGTATTTCCTTTCTATGTTATTTTTTTATATGCGTTACTTGGGCCGTAGATCCTTAAATTAAAAATTGTCTCTCCACCTTTACCTTGGCTGCTGCATACACACTATAAAAATCTTAGCTCCCCAGATTTCATTTATGGAACTACATTGAGTATATCATTATTATTGTTCGTAGAAGTTGATAGAACTTTTGTTTAAAAAACACTATAAAGATGATAATATATATCGTAAAAGATACTACCAAATCCTTCTAACTCATGATAAGTAGGACAGTAAAGTATAGTTTGTTCAAGTGTTGTCGATTTGGTGCGTACAGCTAATCTAAGTTGAAAAGACAGATTTTGATGTTAAACAGATAAAAAGAGATAAAGCAGATAAGATAAGATTTGGTGCAAGTCTGCATCAAAAACACAACCTTTCTATATAGGCTGTCACCCAACATTTGTTTTATCCCTTGCAACTTAAGCTAGAGAGAGTGATTAAGTAGATGTTCAAGTTTAACTCAAGTCAATGATTAGTGTATTTCAATATAACATAATTATATTTTATGACATTTACTTGTACCATCACCAGAAAACCACTTCATGCATCTATATTTAAGTACTTTTAAAAAAAATAATAATAATATAATACTAATATCTATATATAATCTAAAGAGGAGAAGATGAATTCATGTGAACCCGCAGAACCTCCCTAGATATGCCCTGACTCCGAATAGGAGCTAGATAGAGGAACATAAATGAATACCTTGGGTTGAGTTGTAGCATAGGAGGCTCAATGCCCCTATCTTTTTAGGTAAAGGGATTTGCTATAAAATTCAAAATGTAGCTACGAATAGTAATTTTTGCTACAGAGTATAAATTTGATATACCACATAATTTTTCTAAAAAAAAGTCTTGATATATTAAAAATACACTTACAAAAAGAAGAACAAAGCGAAAATTGTAATTTTTTTGTGGGAATTACAATTTAATAATATGTTTTAAACATGCCTCCAAGGTCTTTCAGCAAGATTAAGACATTCTTTATGTCTAAAACAATAAATCAAATGATCAATAGTCATTCCAGCAGCTTGCATGAATGAATTAATAACAACTGGACCAACATGCCTTAATCCTCTCTTCACTAAATCTTTGCTAATTGCTTCTGCTTTTGGACTTCTTAATGGTACATTTCTTGCATTTCTAAATCTGTTAATTATTGCTTTATAATTCATATGGTTCCACATGTAGCAACTGAAAGATCCAAATTCCTCCCCAATCTGCATTTTAATAATAAACTAATCAATTTGACTTTTATGCACTGACAATGTAAATATATAATTGTCCATAATAACTTGAAAATAAATCAGACGATTATCTACCATGTCAAATTAAATTTAATGTAGAATATAAGTTTACCAACTTGATTTGGTAAAGATGGTACTTAATTTACCTTTGTATATGGTCATTGACTTGTTCACTATAACACTAAAGTCAGAAATATTTTTTGATACATTTAAAGTAATTGAAATTAGTATAATATAAAGTAACAAAAGTACTTTTGTCATATTAAAATATCTTACCTTTATCCACTATATATAACAATAAAATCACAAAACTACACTTATATAATTTAGTAACTTTAAAAGACGAAAATAGTTTTGTGATATTATGTTGTTATAGCGGATAAAGTTTATAATGGCTTTTCTTCATATGTTATGTATTACTGATCTTCATTTTATATTATTTCGTTGCTGTTATCGCTACTATTTATATATTTCCTTTTTTCATACTTCTTGGTAATGTTTTATTTTACCAACTATTGATCTAACTCTATAGACTTACCTTGACTATGCATTTGGCATTGCCAACTATTGATCTAACTCTATTTTCAGCCAACATGAGGGACACATTGGAGACCAATTCATTAATCTCCTTCTCTCCCATTTCAGCCACTTGCTTTGCATTGAATCCAACAAAGGCTTCTCTGCATAATATAATTATCACATGATATCATAAGGAATATTGAACAATATATAATTTGTACGTGGACATTGTATATATCTATATGAATAAATAAGTGTAGTTCGGTGCACTAAAGTTTCTGTTGTATATGGGGTCCAGAGAAGGATCGAATTATAAGGACTTATTGTACACAATCTTATCTTGCATTTATGTAAGAGGTTGTTTCCACGGTTTGGACTCGTGACCTCTTGGTCACATGGGAACAACTGTACTAGTTAATCCAAGGTGCCCCTTCTCTGAAATGCACCATTGAAAATTGGAATCTTGACTTTAATGTGATAGGATACATTTCTATGGCCCACTAGATCATTGGTCTACTGTACATAATTTTATCCTCCATTTCTGCAAAAGGTTATTTTCATGATTTGATCATGTTATCTCCTGATTACATGGAAGCAATACCAGTTACGCCAAGACTCCTTCTCTCTGAAATGCACAATCTAGAATTTGAACTCCCATCTTTAATGTGACAAGATATATTTCTACCACTGGATAATTGGTGCTTTGTTCATTGTATATATAGTAATAATAATAATAAATAAATAAATAAATAAAAGCTACTAACAAACTAGAAGTATGTACCTTATTTGTTCTCTTATCTTTAAAATTTCAGTCCAGTTGAAATCCATCAACAAGCCAGCCAAAGAAAGTAGCTCAAACAATTGACTGCAGTGTGTGCACACTTGGCCAATTAGGTCTCGTTTGATCATGAAAATTGTGAAGAAGCAAATCGTTTTTTTTTAAGTGAAAAATGATATTTGAAAACTGTTTATATTCTTTCATGAATTATATATTAGATTACTTACTGGTCATCATAGACTGGAACACCCCAGCATTCATCATGGAATTGCACATAAACCTTATCTGTATATATAAATACATAGCAAACTCAATGAGTCTTTAGTTTCCAAAATTTACTTTGGTACTTAAGAGGATCAATAATCCAATTAAGTTGTACTTTCATGCCCAATTTTGTTTTGTCATTCAAGAATATAATGTACTATCAAGGCATATAAGACACACTACTAAGTTATGAAAAAAGAATATATGTAATATGTATATATACTAACATTTTCTTTTTAATGTTAACTAGTTATAATAGATTAAATCGAGATGTATTGAAAACATTTCTGAACTTGACGCGAATTATTAGTATTGTCCCCGAACTATTGACAGCATTAAAAACACCACTCTACTTGACTAACTAAACTTAGATACACCCTGATCTGCCACATAACATAGCAAGTGGTCTCAAACTCTTGTAGAAGCATGAAACTCTTAATTAATAAAAAGCCGAGAGAAGTGTAATTGAAAACACCCTAAACTTGACGAGAATTTAGGGGTGTATTTCACTCATATTGCAAGATCAAAGGTGTATTTAAATTCTGTTAGTCAAGGTTATTTTTGTATACTGGTGATAAATATTCTTCGACCTTAATGATAGATCTTGTGTTCGAGCTCTAGGAATATAATCACTTTTGATAGGAAATTATGTGAAAAAAATAATATGATTCAATCCCAAACAAGTAGATTCAAAGAAAGAATATATATATATATATATATATATATATATATATAGTTTCAAAAATCAAAGGAAAAAAATACTATCTGAAAATAAGGAATTAACGATCGATAAAATTTCATAACTAAACAACAAAATTTTCATGCTAATAATCTCCTTAATTAGCTACATATTAGCGACGAATTATAAGAAAATTCAGTTAGCTAGAAGCCTTTTAGTGACAAATTAGCTAGGAATTTTCGATAAATTTCATATTTTCTTGTAGTGAAATGAGAAAAAGAGTAATGCTAGATGAAATTTACCTGTGCTATTAGTTATCCAGCTACACCTCATAAGCTCTTTCTCATTAGGACATGGAATAACTTGTGGAACAACAATATTGTTATCTAGAATTTCTCTTTTTTTATGATCCAATGGAGAAGAAAAATCATTTATAAATGTGTGTGAACAAGTTTTGTGAAGCTCTATTGGGTAAACTTTCTTCAAATGTTTGGATAAATAAAACAAGTTATTCCCATAATTATTGCTAATTACTGGCTCTTTCTCTCTATTGTATTTCTCTAATGCATATCTTCTTGCATTTGGCTTAGACATCTTTCAAGAAGAAAAAAAAGGAAATAAGCTAGTCTTTCAATTAAATTTTGTGCATGTAAAGTGGTTGATATATACTAATATATTTTGACTTTTATGTGATGGGGAAAAGTTTGATTAATTCTATGTGAATTTCATTATGGAGTACCTTCTTATATACTTCTATCTCAAGCTACTCCTTTTGAGAAAATGTTTTAAGAAAGGAAAATTGCAATTTCGATCCTCAATTATTGATGAATTCTTATTTTTGGTTCTTCTGATTTTATTATTTTTCATGTAGTTTTCGAATATTTAAGATTTTAATTTTAAAATAGTAAATTAATCTATTTCAATTTAGCTTTAAATATTAGTCAAATCGACAAATGATAAGTATTTTAGGACGGAGGGATCAGAGTAAGTATTTTTGGTCCATTTACACACGGGATATGACATTTTTAGAATTATATTATCCTCATATTTGAATAAATTGAAGGTTAAATGTGTTTAACCAGTTAATTATAAGGACCAAAACTTGAATTTGTTAATGTTTCGGGGTCTAAATCACAAATTCACCTTTTAAAATAAAAATTAAAAAAATAAATTGAAGAAGTGGTTCGTTGGATCTTTAAAATATTATTGAAAACTTGACTGAGTTTTTAATTCCAAGTGTAGGAATTAGTCTTTTCAGAAATAAAGATTCCTACTCGATTGAATTTATTATACCATAAACTCAATTATTTTAATCTTATAAGTGTTCTGCATTAAGAATGTTTGACAAAATTAAGTAATAAACCATAGAAATTATTTAACATAATATAATACAAATTGAATTGAGTTATCACCGAGATCAATCATTATTTTTTATTTTTATTTTTAGCGGCAATTAATTAATTGCAATAGTTTAATTGTCGTTATATGTATTTTTTGCAGCAATTAACACTCTTTGTAAATGTTCCTAAAGACTATAGCGACATTAGGCAAACAGTTAATTAATGCCGGTAAAGATTTTAACACTTTTTATTAAGTGAAAATTTTATAATTGACATATATAGAACTAATAATTATAAGTTATGACATTATTCTTTATCTTTCAAGTTTTAACAACTTTTATTGCCACTAAAAATTATTTTTGTTAGAGTGAGAGTGACAATTTAATTAGAAAAAAGGATTAGTCATTTTTAATTGTTTATAGTTTAGTAGTCACTGTTCAGAAATTGTCAATATAAACCTATATATATTTCTTTTTGTGTTTTAGTGCTAATTAAAATGTATGTACAGTGTCCTGTCAAATCAAGAACTTATACTACTAAATTTGTTTTACAAATAATATTTCCATGTTTGCTTCATGCATGTTACTTATTTCATCAAAAATTAAGTCCCAACAACCTATATGCTTTTCTTAATTTCCCACATTACAAATTATGACAATGAATAATGCTTTTTCTATATGTAATGTATCATTCAATCACAACAAATACTTTGAAGAAAATGTAAACCAATAAAACATTAGTTCAAGTGTTCACCTCAGTGCAAGTGGGGTTTTAGACCTAATACCATTATTTAGACCACAAATACTATGAAAATCTCTTTTGGCTGCACGGATGATGATATATTATATGTCCTAAACACGTTCAACGCTCAATTCTTAAGGTTCGCTTAATAATTTTAAATAAAGTGTCAAATTACTCTAGTTAACACTGTTATCCTTTGTAATTCCTTAATAAATGAATGAATTTTAATTGCCTTTTTAATATGTAGAAATAAGAAAATTGAGAGTAACTCAAATAACAAGTCGTAGTATTCTATATTTACTATTTAAAAACACCGTGTGGGGGTGTGGGGTGGGGGGAGGGGATAATCACTTAAGATTTCTTTTTAAAATATATAATTGAATTTTACATCTTCTCGTGTCATTGATCTTCATATTTTATCATAATGCCTATGTCTCAAAATTATCATATTTAATTATTTCGCTATTTAAAGTGATTTTATTTTTGTAATAGTTTTTTGATTATTTTGTTTTAGATGATTAAATTGCATAATTTAATAGTAATAATATAATGTCAAATTGTCAATGAATATCTAAAAGATTCAGAGTACAACAAATAATAAGGGGTACGTACATAATTAATACGCTTACAATTATACCTTAAGATAATATAACACGATCATAGGCACAAATCACAATACTAACCCAAATGAGATTAAGGTCGAATCTCACATAATATAGGCGATAAAAGATATAAATTTAATAAATATTCTCTTATTATGTAAGAGGGCGTTTATGATGGGACATTGTGATGTCCAATCATAAACTCCCTATATAATATATAATATATAATATAATAAATCATTTTTTCTACTATATAATATATATTTATTTTTCTACTATAAGGGAGTTTATATAATATATTCTCTTATTTTTACAAATGACTTCAAATATTTCATATTTAAAGGATATATAATAAAATAGGTTCACTCTCAAAATTCTATCCGGGTCACATATATTGGGACAGAAAAAATAACATATATCATTTTAAAATTACCAAAAAAGTATTATAAATAATAATAATTAACAACTTCAAATATCTTAAAGACATTTTAAAAAGGTTAATTTTGTAATTGTAATTTCTACTATATAATAAAAGGGAGTTTATATAATATATATTCTACTATTATATAATATCATAATAAAACCCCTTTTATTATATAGTAGAAATAAATATAATATATATATATATATATATATATATATAAAAAAAAAATATAATATAATATATAATAATATAATATAATAAATCATTTACAAATGACTTAAAATATTTAATATTTAAAAGATATATAATAAAATAGGTTGACTCTCAAAATTCTATCCGGGTCACATATATTGGGACAGAAAAAATAACATATATCATTTCAAAATTACCAAAAAAGTATTATAAATAATAATACTTAACAACTTCAAATATCTGAAAGACATTTTAAAAGGGTTAATTTTGTAAGTTTATCCATATCACGTAAATTAGGACAAAGTGACCAGCAATGTAAGTTATTTGAAAGTTACATAAAAATATTATAAATCACAATAATTAATAACTTAGAACATTTTTTTTTAAAATGCAAATTTGGATGACTCTTCAAATTTCATTTGTGTCACATAAATTGAGACAACAAAAATAACATATATTGCGCCCATTTTAATTTATTTGTCTTAATTTTTTTTATATTTAAAAATTGCGTAAAAATACTATAAATCATGATAATTGACAACATAAAATATTTCAAAAATAAATACATATAAAAAAATTTGATTAATTCTTGAAATTAATCTATCGTTAAAAATTATGTATAAAATACAATAAATCGTGATTTTGACCACTTAAAATATTTATTAAAAAAACAGAAAAAATAAATTGACTGATTCTTAAAATTAATCTATCAATGTCACATAAAATGAGACAAAAGTAGTAATATGTATTGTTTAATGTGAAATTATTCAAAACTACGTAAAATGTATTATAAATGTTAACAATTAACAACATTTGATTGAATCTTGAAATTTTATCAATGCTACATACATTGAGACAAGTGGAGTAATATATATTAAGTATTTAAAAATTACGTACAACCATATTGCTTTCTGTAGGCTTCGAATTATCGTGGTCATTTTTTAGGCTGATACAAGTTTTGTACTTTTTTTTTAATATTATAAATCGCAATAATTAATAATTTAAAATATTTTAAAAAATATATTAAAAATTTAGTTGGTTTCGGGAATTTTATTTATACTATATAAAATGGGACAAATGAAGCAACATATATCATTTACAAATGACTTAAAAAGCATTAAAAATTAGAATAATTACCAATTTAAAATATTTAAAAGCTATATAATAAAATAAGTTCACTCTCAGAATTCTTTCAGGCTCACATATATTAGGATAGAAAAAATAACACATATCATTTTAAAATTACCAAAAAAGTATTATAAATAATAATAATTAACAACTTAAAATATTTGAAAGACATTTTAAAAGGGTTAATTTTGTATTTTTATCCATATCACATAAATTAGGACAAACTGACCAGTAATGTTGGTTATTTGAAAGTTACATCAAAATATTATAAATCACAATAATTAATAACTTAAAACATTTTAAAAAAAATAATTAAAATATGGATGACTCTCCAAATTTTATTTGTGTGACATAAATTGAGACAACAAAAATAACATATATTGGGTCAATTTTAATTTATTTGTCTTTTTTTTTTTTGGGTTTTTTATATTTAAAAAATGCGTAAAAATATTATAAATCATGATAATTGACAACATAAAATATGTTTTGAAAAAAAAGGGAAAAAATTCCACTCATTCTTTAAGTGAATCTATCGTAAAAATACTATAAATCATGATAATTGACAACATAAAATATTTCAAAAATGTTGTATGTGGATAGTCTTATTGTGCCTTGAATAGCGTCAAATAAAGTACAAGTTTGTGATAAAAAAACTTATTCCTTTATCCACGCAAACAATCGCTTCAAAATCTCCGTTATTAGCCCAAAACATACCATTTATATTATTGGGCCCGTGCCCGTGCCTAGCACGGGCAACATTACCTAGTTTAATTAAAAGTGTAAATCCTATTTTTTCTTATCTTAAATAACCTAAATAAAAAATATATTAAAAATATCTTTTTACTTTTATTTAAGATAAAAATAAAATTTATATACTGAACTACGTGGAAGTATGTTGTTATTCATGTATAGAAGATAAGATAAAAAAATAAAAATCGAACCAAATCGAGCCATGTGTCATTTACTAAAAAAAAGTTCATTTGCTAATAAGGAGACACGTGTGCCTGCATTAAAACAGGTGGTGCTTTCAAATGACTACTCTGTCCTTACATGTTTGGTTATCCTCTGTTTGTTCTTTTGCTTTGTGAAAAAAGCTGATTTTTTTCATCACTTTCTACACTTCTACTCTGAAAAAAATGCATGTAATAACAATATAATTCGTCTATTAGGTAGTTAAGTATATCTCGACAACTAAATTTTGGTAAGTGTTGGTTGATTTTGTTTATTTTTAAAAATATTTGCATGCATCTGTTTTGTTATATAGTTTGTGTTAATTAATTAGTTTCTAAATGATATGCAATGGAAAATTTTGTGATGATTTAGTTCTTCTTACAATTTTTCAATATTTGGCTAGTTATTTTTTACTATAACAGGTTTAGAACTTTGTAAATAGAGGTTTATAACTTGGTTACATGTATAGTGTATAATCCTATGGGTTTTGAGAACATGTATAATGTAGTCCTACGGATTTTGAGAGTTTTATTAGTTTGTTGTAGCTCTGCCCTGTATCCCGTATGAATCCCACACCTACACTAACCATGTTGTCATGATCAGCAGCGGATCCATGATTGTCATTAAGGGGTGTCAATGGTTGTAGTAAAAATATAGTTGTGAGGCTAGTAGGACTAGAACACACAACCTCAAGGACTTTTTGCAACGCCTTAAAGTGAAGAGTCGTACTATTAGAAACACTAGAATTAGCTATGAATTTCGTTGCTGGTCTATCGATAACGAAAATTTGTGGTTAAGTAGGATTAGTGATGTATTTTGCTGTTTAACTACAAAATTTGTTCTTCGCTAGAAACTTAGATTGTTTCAAGTTTCAAATGTATAACCGTGCGACAAGGTTCAACTGAATTATCTTAAGGTTGGGAGTGAGGGTGCTTACCATTTGAGCAACTCCCTCGTGTCTATTAATGCATCGACTTTTAGTTGGAGGATAAGAAATGCAAATTGAAGCAAACACAAGTTTAGAGAAAATTGTGTATAGGTTATAATCTGCATATTTTGGACTAGATTCTTTCATTTTCTTCAAATGTTTGTGGAAGCCATTTTGTGGTGAACTAATAATTTGATTTTGTGTTAATGTTTAATTTATTAGAAAATGTATCCAGTATTACTACAATAAAAACAACTAACTTTTAGTGGTAATAAGTATACATTAACAAAGAGTGCTAATAAAGTTTTTACCGGCATTAGTTAATTGCTGTTAGATTCAATGTCGTTATAAGCTTTAGGGACATTTACAAAGAGTGTTACATGCCACTAAAAATACATATTTAGCAGCAATTAAACTATTGTTGTCAATTAATTGTTGTTAGAGATCATTTTTGATGTAGTGTATAAGTGTTATGTCTTCCTGAATCCTGCTTTTATATCAAGACATGAAGAAAAATGATTTCGAGTTTTTTGTGTGAGATTTGATTTTCTTGCTCTGTGGAACTTTAATGTCAGTAGCTCACGTTTACGTACCTTCTGGTGTTATGTAGGGTGATGATTTATTCTTGTCGCCGAAGAGTTCGGAGTTCTTTTTGAGGAATTACCTTTAAAAATGGTAAGTTCTATCTCGTTTCTTGATTCTTTAAGACACTGCAGTTTTTTTAATTTCATTCTGGTCATATAGATCAGAAATGAAAGTCTATGGTCCTTGTTTATTCATATTTTGGTAAATGGCAGAGCGACATTTGTTCTTTGTTTGAATTTTTTTTTTTCAATCGCGTTCAGGATAACAACTTTTCTGGAGAAGACAATGACAACATTGACTGGGATACTGAAGATGAATTAGAAATACAAGAAATACCGGATGCAACATTTTCCTCGTGCACAAATTTAAGAAATGTTGGACATAATACTGTTAGTGGTCATGGGGAGGTATATGCTTTAATCCTTGTATTCGATACCTAGCGATATTTGTTGTCGAGGTCATTGCATCTCAATTTATGGCCTCTTTTGGTCTTCTCGTACGTGAAGGCAAGCTCATCATCGGTACCCTGTCAATCCAAGCTCATTCAACAATTTATTGTGATGGGATTTCCTGAAGAATCTATTGCAAAAGCGATAGAGCAAAATGGTATTTCAATTGTCAGTGTCTTTATACAACTAAAGAATTGATTTTTCAATTGTCGTATTGATGTTGTTGGACTTGAGACACAGGAGAGAATGAAGGTTTGGTGCTAGATGCTCTTTTGACATTCAAGGTGTGTAGTATCTGCCTCATTGTTTGCCAACCACCTTTTTCTCTACTTATAACTGCCTATACGTTCCGCCACTTGCATAAGGTTTTCTTAGATCAGTCAGCGGTTTAAATGGACGGCTATTAACCGATGACGATATTCTGTCATTTGAACGTTTCCCTAGGTGGTGACTGTGCAATGTATGATGCCAATTGTGTTAGAATATGCTGAACTTTTATCTGTCTTCATTGTAATGACGATTTTCTTCTATCGTTTCATTTTTCACTAGAATAGAAGAGGAAACAAAAATAGAAAAATTATGATCTTTATTTGCATAAACTTTAGTACCACGAATCGTACTTTTTGTTTGTCTTTGGATGTAGCAGGCACTTGAAGATTCTCCTGAAGAACAGCCTAGTACGAGCGCACAGATGGAACCCAGCATTAGTTCTGATGATAGCTCTTCTCAATACAACGAGAACTTTTTGGTTGATGTTTATGAAGATGATAGTTGGTCCTCGGACTCGGACAATTGTATGGTATGTTATCCTCAATCATTACTCTCCATTGTACTTTTCACTGTCTAGTCGTGGCGTAGAAATAGTCAATCTGGTTTGTCTTTTTTTCAAAAATATACATCTAGTCATTTTATTCCGCGCATCTGTTCATCAACTAATTTATACTTCTTTTACCATTAAGGATGTTTGCTGGTCCTGAATCCTGTTATGAGTTTTCTAACATTTTCTGTCATTTTCCGTGTACTATGTGTGATAGAATTCTGCTAAACAGAGTTACTTGAATGACGACAACAGTTCTTTGTCTGAAAACGAGAATTCATTATTATTCCTAGCAAATATGGGATACCCCGCGGAGGAGGCTTCCATAGCGATGGAGAGATGTGGTTCGTATAATTTTTTATGTGTTTTGTCCTCTGTTGTATCTAGGACAAAATCTGCTTATTAACTCTGCAATATACCTAAATATCTTTTTGGAATCGCGATACCTATTTTTGATTTCATTTCCAGATTATTAAATGTCTTCTGCACAACTTTCTAGGTCCAGAAGCATCGTTTTCGGAGTTGATAGATTTCATGTGTGCTGCTCAAATGGCAAGAGAAGAAGACGTCTATCTGCCCGAAGATGAAAAGGTCTGTTTTCCTCTTGCAGTATTTTTAAATGGACTCGTGTGATGTAACAATCTGTTTTACTTTGTTCGCATTTGTAACTACATATTAGCAATATCATTTCTCGTTGAATTGATGCATCCTTTCACTGGGACAGCCAAAACTAAATAGTGGTGGATACAAGAGGAAGATGTATAATGAACTTCGCGTAAGGAAAAAGCAAAAGGCGATTACAGATGAAGAGCCAATTCATTTGCCCAGACCTATGATTGGATTCGGGGTTCCTACGGAATCCTTACCAGCTATTGTGCAAAGAACTCTGCCAGAGCAAGCTATTGGCCCCCCTTTTTTCTATTATGAAAATGTTGCTCTAGCTCCAAAGGGTGTGTGGGACACCATGTCAAGATTCCTTTACGATATTGAGCCTGAGTTTGTTGACTCGAAATATTTTTGCGCTACCGCAAGAAAAAGGGGATATATTCATAATCTACCAATTGAAGATAGATTTCCTTTACTTCCACTTCCTCCACGTACCATTCATGAGGCGTTTCCTCTAACGAAGAAATGGTGGCCATCTTGGGATACACGAACAAAGTTAAATTGTTTGCAAACATCTATTGGGAGTGCAAGGTTAGCTGATAGAATCAGGAAAGCTATGAAAGCGATGGAGAACTTTGATGATGAGCCACCGTTGATGGTGCAAAAGTATGTTCTAGACGAATGTCGGAAGTGGAATTTGCTGTGGGTTGGTAGAAACAAAGTTTCTCCTTTGGAGACTGATGAATTTGAAATGCTAATGGGATTTCCACGGAATCATACCCGTGGAGGCGGTATAAGTAGGACCGATAGATACAAGTCGCTTGGTAACGCGTTCCAGGTTAGCCATAAGCCTTAACCTTCTTAAAGTTTATTGTTATAATAATTTTTAACATGGTACTTAGATCGAAATATTTTTATTAGGTCGACACAGTGGCATACCATTTATCGGTGTTGAAAGACTTGTATCCAAATGGTATCAATGTTTTATCACTATTTTCTGGAATTGGCGGTGCTGAAGTTGCTCTATATCGTCTCGGTATTCCATTGAACAATGTGGTTTCCGTAGAGATAGCTGAAGTCAACAGGAATATTCTGAGAAGCTGGTGGGAGCAAACAAATCAAAAGGGGAATCTTATAGATTTCAATGATATACAGCAGCTGAACGGAGACGACTTGGAGCAAATGATCGATTCATTTGGAGGATTCGATTTAGTAATTGGAGGAAGCCCGTGCAACAACCTTACTGGAAGTAACAGAGTGACTCGAGATGGACTCGAAGGTAAAGATTCTTCTCTATTTTATGACTATGTTCGGATAGTGGACTTGGTCAAATCCATAATGTCTAATCGTAGAGTGTGACGAAAATATGTTTGAGTTTCTGAAGGGGATGGACTTGGAAGGCAACAAGTAAAATGTTGTCTTTGATATGATTTTGGTTTGTACATATTTTTCGATGCCCCGTGGTAATAGTAAAGGGGCACAGGTTAACTCTCTTAGTGACATCCTAATATAACTAGTATGTTCGTGGAAAAATGAACTGTTGAACTTCTCATTGTAAATGACATCAAATGACGTTGAAAATGGGTAGTCTTGACCTTGTGATTCGCGTTGAGCTCATGAGCAAACACCAAAAGTGTTGTCCATGGAGCGAAACTTATTGAATTTGAAGTTCTGTTCATGGGGTAAAATGTTGAAAACCATCTTACTATTTTGAATGTCATTCCTCTAAATTACTCGAATTAGAGGTGATGAAATTAGTCCGTGAAGTTATAATTCGTCCAATCCATTTAAGTTTGGGCTAGTTAATGACTCAGTACCCATCTAAGATTTGGGCTTGAAATTATCGATGTGAATTCTTCTTACAATATTTTTGAAAGACATTATTTTTGTTTGATATCTTATTTATAGACAGCATAAAGAAAATTTTGTTAGGTATTTAAACAAACAGTAAGAAAACAATTTTTACGTGAGTGGGGTTATAGCTGTTATTTAGCCCATTTCAATCTAACATGTAGCCCAATGACAAGGGATGTCAATGGGTTTGGATTGCCTAAGCCCGCAAAACTTTTAATCCACTTGGGTGCACTTAAAATTAAAACAGTGAAATCGAGCAGTAGTTGAATTCAAATCTTGATCTAGCGGATGGTTTCTCTAGCTTGTACCAGCAGCACAAGGGTATTTTCATTAATCATATCATATTAGATATACGTATTTTTTTTATCGAAGTCGATGGATGCACGTGCACCCCACCAAATCATGTGGGTCCGCCTCAGGGAAAGACATAGTTTCAAGGGTATGTTTTGTTTGAGTCCAAAAACAAATGTTAAAGGATATTTTTAGATTCAAAAGTAGAAGAAGGGTATACTCAAACTCGTATAAACTTAACCTTCGGTCAACGTTTCAACTTTAACCCATGAAAAAAAGATAATAATAAAGGCCTAAAATATCTTTTAACTATTTAGACCGATACAAAATTATCCTCTGTCCATCTTTCGATCCTCAAATACCCTGAGCGTTAACGGTGCGTTACTAAAATAACAAGATGATGAATTTTAGTCCACTTGCATTGTACACACTTTTTTTTTGTCTCTAGTTCATGTAATTTTGTAGATTAGCAAAGAAGAATGAGAAACAAAATTCCTTTTTAAGAATAAGATAAACACATGACAAAAGTGAAGTAGATTCAATCAAGACATTGGCAAAGAGAAAAGAGAAAAGTTGTTCTCGTTGAGTGCATGGCGGCAGACAAGCACGAAACACTTGTAACTTTCTTTGCACGTACATAGTACAACATTTCTCATTCCCCAACACTTTCAACTCCCCATTTATAACGGTTCCACATTCCAACTTCAATACATCTTCGTTCGATTCTATCTTTCAAAAATAGTCATTATCGTAAATTTAAAATTACGCATGTGATGCTCTATTCTCACTATTTTAGGAGTTTGAAAAGTGACTATTTATGAATCTTATTTGAATAATTTACATGTATAGTGCGATTTTTCGATATGAATGTGAATTAATTGAGCTTAGCGGAATATAATATAATATAATATGCTTAAGGATGTGTTTGGTAGGTAGGAAAATAAGTTTCTTCAAAATGAGGAAAATGACGGTATCTTCTCTGCCCTCCAACAATATCCTATCCCTACCCCGTCATAGCTACCATGTATAATATTTACGTAGATTATATGGTTAGAGGGCTAAGAAGATACATATATTTCTAATATTTACCCACACTTCTACCTTCTATAATATTTTACGTAGATTATATACAAATTTTCCTTAAAACAATATTTTTAATCTACAAATATTTCTAAAATAATTTTTTTAATTATATATAAAACCCAAAAAATACTTATACAAAAGAATCACTATACTTTATAGAAAAGTATTCTCCAAAAAGAATATTTTTATGATGAAAAGTATTTTCCTAATTCTTACCAATTAACACACTCTAAATGAAAAAGAAAATGAGATGACCATGCATATATAGTCGGTGCTAAGTGGTGTGTAGCCATAGGTACTTCGCTGAAAAATTATACTATGTATACAAAATTACATGTTAAAAATTATTTTCATATACATGTAATAGATTTTAAACATCTTTGATGAAATTTTTGATTTTGCTGTTACGAGGATGCTACTATATTATTGTTGATGAATTTTAAGAGAATTTTTCAAAATATTTTTCAATAATTTCGAGATCCTAGTACTCATAACTTGCACTGACACATGGATCATCACAACTTTTCACAAAAAAAAAAAAAAACTTTATCATTGGAATTCATGCAAATAAACTTGGTCCCCTTTTCTAAATGTACACACTTCATTTGTTAACGTAAATTTGAAGGTAAAAATTTGGACTACTAGTCTTGTGCTTTGACTTGGGATTTGTTCAAACGTGGAAAGTTATTGGTATTTGTAACATATGTTTTTGACTTGTATATCCTTCATATTATAAAGATCACTTTATATTCATTCATTCTCTTGTCTTTAAATGCTTCAAAAAACAAACATACCCCTTCCAAAAAATTAAGTTAGTTAACAACAATATGTTGGTACCTAGTAGGATTTTAAGCTTACTACTAATCCTAATCCTAATTGCTCAAATTCTGCCAAGCACAAGTTCTTACCAAGGTATGTATCATTAATTAACTAATATTCAATGCGTCCATGACTTATACTACTAGAAATAAAGTTTTTTTTTCATCGCAAATCAGTGGGAAATATATGTGCGCGCTAATATATGGTTTTTTTCACTCATTTTCCATTGAATTAGCTCAGTAGGAAAGTTCATGGTGAAAAACAGATTCTCATTGAAATAGTGAGAAACTTTCTAATTTTTCCATATGAAAATATTACTATTTTTTCTTGTCTCACCGATTCAATCTGAATATGCGTGGAACTGAACATTTTTCAATCAGAAATTTAGTAGGAAAATAGTGGTTCTTTTGTGGTGTTAATATCCTATATTTTTATTTGAAATTTTATTTGTAGGTGGCAAAATTGCAACCAAAAGACGCAATTCAGTACTAAAGAGAGAGGCCTTGGTACGTTTGTAATTAAAAAACATTCATTTCGGTTGTGTCCTTTTAATATAGGATATATATATATATTAACATATGGTAGGAGGTGTTAGTTTCATCATTGTTTGTTTTCGGAAAGATAAAAGCAGATAAAGTAGAAATTCTTTTTGTTAGATTTAAATGAGTACCTCCCGACTCGAATAAATGTAATATTGTATTATGGTAATAATCCTCCCCCAAACTCTACTAGTGGGTATACTGCTCTGCTACTCTCTTGTAATGATGCATATTAAGCTCTATTAATATGTTATCATGTTTTACCAAATAAAAAAATGATTAATAATTAATAATGCCATAGAATTTCTTTGCATGCAATTATATACCTTATAAGTGACCTAACCAACACATATCATCTACTACTTATTTTTAGATTAAAGTACATACTTAATTATGATTTAATACACTAGTAACATTTTTATTATGTATACATTGATGGTATAAAAAATCTTTTATACGATCAATGAATTTTAACCTGTGTTGCAAATTTGTTACATTTTTACATGATTACAAATTAATGCTTATCATGAAATTTACTTGTCAGCATACGATAAATGACTTGATTGTGTAAATATTTTCTTGCGTCCACAATGCGTAGAACTTAATCTCTTTTAATTATTACTATTGGAATTTTCATAGGCAAATACTGGTGGAGAACAAATTCTGAGCAGACGTCCACTCTCACAGTCTGGAGGCAAAGATAATGCTGAATATGTTGCATTTACAGCAGATTATAAATCACCTAGGCATCACCCACCAAGGCACAACTAGACAACTTTACTAGAAAATCGCAAATTTTCGACATATATTTTGTAAGAATTTGACTTGTCGATAAGGGTTATATTATCGACTGGTCAAATTCTGAGGAAATTTTGTTGGAAATTAGTGATTTTTAGTTCAATGAGAAGTACCAATTAAAGATCTATAGTTTAACAACTTTTGCAATGCATTTATCTTAGTGTTCTCTTTATATATTTCATTTGTAACTTTTTGATACTTTATATGAATGTCAACTAAGTATCGTAAGTAAATTGTTTTCGGTTGTCAATCAATTGATAATCAGAGTCATTATTTGATAATTAATCACTATGAGTCAGATTCAATAGAATTTGATCAATCCTATTTTCTGTCATTAAGGTGGAGAACTAAACCAATAATTCTCTTTTTTCATCGTCAATTGAATCACTGTTCGCGACCGATGATTCTATTTTCTCATCAATTCAATCCCATGAGTCGAGTCGTGAAAGTAACTACTAATGTTTGAATACGAAGAGGCTATCTGTATCACACCTCTTAAGGTGTGACCCTTTCATAAATTCTATTGATGTGAGATGCTTTGTAAGTCGAACTGTCTTTTTATATAATAAAGTCTGTGTTATTTTAAAATCTTGTCCTTTATGTTGATTCAAACTCTTTTAGACTGAGTTACTCGAACTCTCTAAAAATATTGTTGCATACATGTCGGATTCTTCCAAAATATACACTGTTTTTGGAGGATCCGACATGCACCCATTGGCATTTTTGAAGAGTCTGAGCAACATAGCTTTTAGATATAGTAGATGTAAAAGTTATTTTCATTACATGTCGTGTTCAATTAAAGTACATCACATAAGATGAGACAGAAGTAACAAGTACATGAGTGATTCAAGACTTGAGACCAAACTGCAATACCTATTTTGCTTTGCATATATGTCTGGATAATGCATACTTTCCTCGAACCCTCGTTTGATATTGTACATGAACTTGTGTCTCGTGGTACAAGTTGTTACTTCTTTGGTAGCCAAATCACATAGCACTCGCGAATAGAAGGAGGTCACGCGCACCATAAACACCCTCTTCTTCATATGAAGCGCCTTGTGATGTCTTCCCAACAAACAGAAAGTGTCAAGCAGATGATATCTACAACAAGTTCAAGGTTCTTCTTTCATCTGGCCTGATGGCAAAGAACCTTCACGAATATGGAGGGGTGCACTCGTGCAGAGACCCATCTCGACAACATTATGTAGTTCATTGATCATCCCATATATTAGGTAACTGAACACAATTTGTAAGTCAACAAACATTCACAGTTCACTACATGAAATGAATAATATTCAGAATGCAGAGCTACCTGTGCTTTGTAGCCACCACTCGTAACAGCTAAATAGGGATAGATAGATTTAAGAAATGCATCGGTGGAGTTTCCCGAACCAGGAAGACCTGACTGAAGCAGGCCTGGTTGCAGTTGATGTGAGGACTGATACGGCAGTGTAAGATCAGGAGCGAAAGCAAGTGAGGATGAAGGATCCGCTCGTGAAAGCAGAATCTGCAAGAAGAATTCAAGAATGCTATTGTTCTTTAGAAACTAGAAACTATGCACCATGTTCTGCTTCATGTTAACTCCCAGAAAAGTGCATTGGTTCTTACATCTTTCGCAAGGAGCGCATCAATATTAAAATCCAACCGCAGGTTTATAGTCGCAAGCTTCATTGAGAGGAACTGAGAGAACAAGAAGTCCAGTCATTCTCAAACATATATACTGTAAACCTCTTAGATGCACATGATTTTGCAAGAAACAAAAATGCAGCCTTAGTACACTTAGATTCGGCTATGCACGAGTTCAGGAAAGGGTCTATTACGCAGCCTTACCCTGCATTTCTACAAGAGACTGTTTCTACAGCTCAAACCCGTGAACTCCTGGTCCCATAACAACAACTTTACCAATTATCCCAAGGCTCCCAATAAAACTAATCAGATACTAGTGATTCATCATCTGAACCAACACAAAAATGGAGTAAAAAAAGAAAAGGAATAAGTTATTAGGAGTAAAGAGCATACCTCAACCTGTCTTTGAAGAGATTGTACATAATTAATGATTTCATCCAGCATTACTGCTTTCCCAGTGACCTGCGAAATCACCGGCTATCGCTCAGGATACATTAAAAACAGATACTTATTGTTATAATGGATGTTTTAGAAAAAAAAACTGTTTACTTAAAAAAAAGTATAACAAAAGTAACCTTGTTGCAACCAGGTACAAGATCCTGAAGAAATTTCATCCGTTCGCTGATCTTCTCCCTCCTTAGCTGCATTAAAATAAAAGTAAGACATATCTGAAAGAAGTACAACATGATATCTTCACTACAACTTGTTTAAGTTTCTATTCTTGAAGTCTTACTCTTTCTGCAAGGCTATGGCTATTTGTTGCTTGGCCTCTTCGAGCTCGGATATGTATGTAGTCTTCTTTAGGTGGATCCTCATTTTTTGCACCAGGCCTGCAGGCAATGGTATTCAAGTTTTGCTCTTTTGTCAGTTCAGCTGGTTGTTGTTGTGCTCCATTCATTTGATCAAATTCTGTATCCTGACAAAATGATAAGAAACTTTAATATACAAGAACTAGCACAGAACAATATAAAAAATGTATACCTGATCACTTCTTTTCCTTTTCCTTGAGCCAAGGCACCTAGCAGAAGAATTCCCACCCTCCACTTCTTCTTGATGTCCACTACATTCAGACTCATTTTCAGAGATGCCAACACATTCCTTTGCTTCATCCTGAGACTTGACATTTTTCTCATTCTTTAGGGGGCTTCTATCTGTGTGTTCATATTCAAGAGGTAAAGAAACATCCTGATCAGAACTTTCAACTGCATTTCTCATCTGTTGCTTTTGACTGATTGCAGTAGAAGGTGACTGTAATCCGTTACTAGCGAATACCTCTTGTGATTCTCCGAAGGTCAGTCCGTTGTGATACGTATCAGAAGAATTAGGGATAGCAAAGGGGTTCATCATATCACCAACTATTCCTCCACTGAAGCATGAAAATCTTGTAGCCCTCTCAATAAAACCTGAATCAGCTGACAATTGAGTTAAGCTTTGAGGAACCATACCAGTAGTAGGGGGTATAAACGTGCCTCCTTTCGACATCACATTTGGTTGAGTCCAACCCATAGCAACCATTCTATTAACACTAGCTCCCAGAGGATCCAAGCCAATTGCAGCACCAGGATTCATTTGAATATTAGTACCACAGAAACCTAAGTTTGATGAACTAACAGGATTATCCCAAACACTAGCACAGAACGAATCGATAATTCGGTTAGATGCATTTGTCAGATTACTGCCACTTAATTGCCAATCTGAGAACATATTTTCTGGATCAACATCATCCTTGCTAACAATATCCATTGTTTCAAAGTCTAGCAAATCCACCAAACTCAAAAAAAAAAAAAAAGTCTCCCCTTCACCACAGATACAAGAGTTTAGCTACTTCACAAGATACTCATTGTTCTGTATTTGACAATCTTCATTCAATCATATTAAAGCAACTTTAGATCATATTCTCAAAATTTCTAGTTCAACAAGATAAGAAACAATACAGAAAACTCCAAAGCATGCAAGAAATAAGTGGAAATTGAAAATTGAAGAAATAAGTAATAATCAAGAACTCAAATCATAGCAGAGAAACCCCACAACACCAAACAACATTATTATCCAAGAAAACACATTCCAAGTTCAATAAAGAGGAAAAGCATTTAATTTCAGCATCATAAATGTTCATTTTAAAGCCCTAGTCAGAAGGGAAACAGACACACATATCTAAGCTTAGCTCTGAAACAGAAAAAGACATAACTAAAATTGGGAAAAAAAAGAAATTTCAGATTATGTGCTACTTTTGGAACTCTGTACACCAATTTTCTTTATGAATTTGCTAATGTCCAAACTGTTATAAACAGAGAAGAAAACAGTAGAGATATAAATAACTCTGCTTAGCAAAACACAATCAATGACTTCAGAAGAAGTACTAATTCAAGAAAATAGGTAGTAGTAGTATTTATTTTTGAGAAAAAGGAGAGCTTGGACCTTAATAATCTTTGGTAAAAAGCGTTTTTCCGATAGATACTTATGCAATAGTCGAACTTCAATATAAATGTTTTTAAATAGCAATCTTGATTAATTCAACTTGAAAACATTTGGAAAATTATAGTAAAAAGATGGGAGTATGTTGTAAGGTCATTTTAAAGTTGATTCTTTTGAGCCAGGCAACTGACATTGCCAACTCTTGCCAGACACTATTTTTATCAATTGATATAATTGCTCTGCCTATTCTTTATGTCTTGAGATAAGAGCTTTAGTTACATAATCTTAATTTGATTTGTTTGGTCAATTGACAACTACTTTTATTAGCTTGTTTTATCTTACTTTTATGACCACTTGGGTTGCTATTACAGGCTACCTACATGTACCAACTTTAGGTCTTTGCATCTTGTTTTGATAAGAAACTTTCCTAGCTTATATAGATGCAGGCCTAATATATATATATATAGAAGTTTGTGTAAGCACTAGTTCATACTATATATTACTATTTTTATCTAAATTTATACTATGTATGTGTATTAATATATTTGAAATTGTTAATTATTGTAATTTATAATTCATTTTACAAAATTAAAATAAATCTTAAAATTGCTTTTTCAAATCTTTAAAGAATTTGCCTCACCTTATAGTTTAGAGTAACGTAAAATAAACATAATTTAGTATGAAACTAATAATAAAAACACAAAAAAGGGTAAAAGATGTCCTTATATTATGTGAAATTGAACAAAAATGTATTCAGTTAATAATTTGGTCTAAATATGTCTCTACTGTATATAGTTTGGTTAAATGTAAGTTCTACATAGTGGTGGTTAGATTAACTTTGTTGTATGGGACGGAGTGTTGGCCTTTCAACAACTCTCATGTTCAGAAGATGTAAGTTGTGGAAATGAGGATAGTGAGATAGATGTGAGGAAATACTAGAAGCTAGCAATAAGATCAAGAATAAGGATATCCGAGCTAGCAAAGGTAAAAGTGGCCTCCGCTATGGACAAGATAAGGGATGCAAGGACTAGACGGTTTGAGCAGGTGAAGAGGAGTTGTATAGATGCTCTAGTGAGTAGGTGCAAAGGGTTGCATGTAGTGGGTACAATGAGAAGCAGAGGTAGGTTGAAAAAGTATAGAGGAGAGGTGATTAGATGACATGGCTCAACTTCAGCTTACCCAAGGCATAATCTTTTGATAGAAGGATATGGAGCGCACGTATTAGAGTAGAAGATTAGCCAATAGTGAATTGTCGTCCTGCTTCCTCATGGGTTTAGGCTTAGTGGTGTCTGTCGTAGTATTAACTTTATTCTTGTAGTGTTTTGCTTTTGGTTTCTATCACCATTTGGTATTTGTCGTATTTCCATCATTTAGTCATTTCAATCTGTGTTTCTAACAAATTCAACTGTACCAATTTAAGGATAATTTGGCACCCATTGTAGGGCTGGACCAATAAAAAATTAAGGTCCAATATATATATATATATATAATTAAGAAGGTTTTCATTATTATTATTTTTCAAATTTACCCTTATTTAAATAAGTGATTTTTACGTAACTAAAAAGGTGCTATTTAATTTAGGAAATTAGGATAATTTAGTCAATCACTTTTTACTTTTTATGAATGATAGTAAATTTCCTTAAAGGGTGTGTTCAAGTTAAAGCACCATATAGTATAGATGGGAAAGTGTATAATTCAAACATTTAATGCAAATTGATTTCCAAATATATTTCAATTACTTATTATTAATGCATGCATATCTTCAATTTTAATTATTTAAAGGTTTCAGAAAAAGAAAAACACTCGACAATATGAACAGATTTATTAGAGGCACTAATTTAAGATATTTGACAGAATTGATTTTGAATTTGAGATGGTCAAATTGACCTTTTTATAGAAAAAAAATATTGAATGGAAGATTTTGGAAGAAAACGTAATAATAATTATTAGCCAATAGAAAATATTTACTTAATTATTGCTATAAATCAGCTATTAATTACAATCACCTCCATAATTCATAACAAATTATAAGTTTATACAACAAATCATCATGGAAAAAGCTTCAATAAAATTGCTCTTCTTAATAACTTTCTGGCTTGTTGCAATTGGTTTGCTCTCACTTCTTTCAAACAATAAAAATAAAATTATCTTTTATGTGATATATGTTATTCACTCCTTTTTTGTTACATTATTTTTTACATGATATATGATTATAGTATTATTTGATTGTCGAACTATTCCTCTATTATACTACTGTCTCTTGTACTTTCATTACATTTTTTTCTTTTAGTATGATTTTGTCATCAGAAATAACCTCTCTATCTCATTACTGAGAAAGAAGGAAGATATATATGCGTACACTCTATCCTCTCTAGATTTTATTATGTGGGAATACACACGGATATGTTGTTGTATTTGTTACATGATGGTGGTCCTTGGTTCAAACAATTTTTTAAAAATTATTTTTCTTGCATTTGAAGAAGTAGTAATTAATTAATTTGATATATTTTATGTAATAATTTGCAGGATGTAATTTTATGGGTGGATTAGTAGAAGCAAGAAGTTCAACTCAAGGACCACCATCATGTTATATTGATGAAGATTGCACAAAATACTGCTCATTTTTTTGTGCTGGCACTGGTGTTTGTGTTGATAATGAGTGTAATTGCCATCAAGACTCAACTACTTATGAAGAGAACAAAGACACACAATTAAAAAGGCACAAAAAACTATGCAAAAAAGAGAAGAAGAAAAGCAATTACAATTTTCTTTAAATTTGTATTGCACATTGAAATGTATATTTTAATGCTTCTTTCATTTCTAATAAAAATAAAAATATAGATTTATGATAACAAACTCCGACTTGCCTCATGCAGAATGTTACTCTTGGGAATCGAAATCACGATCTTGACTCTAATACTACTTGTTAGGATCAAACACTTATTATCATGCCAAAAATGGTAGCTTATATCAAATGAGCAACTTTATCTCTTAATTAAGTCCACCAAGCAAGCGATATGTTCGATCATGACTCCGACTCGGGACATCCAGGCCCTTGTGGGCCTTGCCATATGCAGGATGTTGGCATTACCCAACACTACTTATCTCATAAAAAATATCAAACTTCATTAAAGTAAAAAGGAAATATGAAAAAAATTTCAAACATTCATCTTAAATTTTGAATAATTCAATTATTTTGAACAATGAAAAAAAACCCAAAAGTTCAGTTAATATGAAATAGATGGAGTAATAAATAAGGTATATTGATAATGGTGAGACTAGTTATGTTGAGATTACTTTGTTTGATATATTCAAGGATAATTCAGTCTTTAATCATAGATTTTTGTGTATTAATTATGTCGCCTGGCCTATAATTAATACCGAATAAGATGTAATAACTATACAATTATTGAGAACACTACCAAATAAGTTACTCTATTAAATAATAATATCAAAGCTAATACACATACATTTTTTTCTAATACGAAGTGTTTGTGTGATTCCCATATTTGCTTTTTTCATGTGATACTTTAAGTTGGTGTATAATTTTTATAAAATAATGAAAAAAGGTTATTCAAATTCAGTACGTGGATCAAATACATACATTCATTTTATGCAAATTTAGTTAACGTTTTTCAAATATTTTATCGAAGAAACATTCATCTATCCTGTATATGGTAACATATAGAAGATTTCCTCCTCAAAGCATTTTTTAAGGAAAAAAATTTGAATCATTAGCTATGTTGATTTGTACTATTAGTCTTCGTGTAATTTTTATATGTGTAATTTTTATATATGTAAATTTTATTTTTAGAATTTATACCCGAATATTCATAATCTAATTTAAGGGTTTTCGCCTTTGTGCTTCAGAGCATTAGTTCAGGAATAGTTTGATGATATGAGATTCAAAAGATTTTTTTGCGAAACCTTTACGGAATCCTCAGTAAAGAGTTGGGGGAGCCATACGCGATGACTCGCCATTTTTTGTACATTTTTTTTGGGCATTTAGGATGAATTATGCGATTCTCTTAGTTTTTCGTGGGTATTAGCCTATGTATATTTTGGTAATATCGCTTCTGGTAGATTTTTTTGCAAAACCATAATGTAACCCTCCGGTAGGGAGTTGGAGGAGAAGTACATGAAGTCTCACCATTTTTAACACTTATTTGAGGCATTTAGGAGCCATTTACAGGAATTAGATGATGTTCTGAGTTTTTCGTGTGTGTTAACCCATGAATATTTGGTGATATGACTTCCAATCAATTTTTTTGCAAAACCTAAACGGAACCTTCCGTAGGGATTTAGGGAAAAGTAATATGTGAAGCCTCACAATTTTTTGTACATAATTTGGGCATTTAGGAACCATTTTACAGGAATTAGGCGATTTTTTCAGTTTTTCGTGTGTGTTAGCTCATGCATATTTTGGTGATATGTCTTCCGGACGATTTTTTTGCAAAACCTAAACGGAACCTTCCATAGGGATTTAGGGAAGCATTACGTGATGCCTCCACCATTTTGGCACATATTTTGGGCATTTAGGAACCATTTTACATGAATTAGGCAATTTTATCAGTTTTTCGTGTGCGTTAGCCCATTAATATTTTGGTGATATGGCTTCTAAACGATTGTTTTGCAAAAAAATTATGGAACCTCCATAGCGAGTTGGGGAAACAGTATGTGAAGCCTCACCATTTTTTGTACATATTTTGGGCATATAGGAGCCATTTTATAGGAATTAAGCGATTTTTCTTAGTTTTTTGCGTGAGCCTATGAATATTTTGGTGATATGACTTCCGAATGATTTTTTTGCAAAACTTAAACGGAACTTTCCGTAGGGATTTAGGAAAGCAATACGTCAAGCTTATCCAGTTTTGCACATATTTTGGGCATTTAGGAGTCATTCTACAAGAATTAGGCGATTTTCTTAGTTTTTTTGTGTGCGTTAGCCCATGAATATTTTAGTGATATGGCTTCCGGGCGATTTTTTTGCAAAACCTTTATGGAACCTCCGTAGCGAGTTGGGGGAGTAATATGGAAGCCTCACCATTTTTTGTGCATATTTTGGGCATTTATGAGCCATTTTACAATTAGGTGATTTTCTAAGTTTTTTGTGTATGTTAACCAATGAATATTTTGGTGATATGACTTTCAGACGATTTTCTTGCAAAACCTTTACTGAACCCCTGTAGAGAGTTGAAGGACTAGTTAGTGAAGACTTACCATTTTTACACATATTTTGAGTATTTAGGAGCCATTTTACATGAATTAGGCGATTTATGAGTTTTTTGTGTGTTAGCTCATTAATATTTTGGTGATATGACTTCCAAACATTTTTTGCAAAACCTAAATGGAACTCTCCGTAGAGATTTGGGGGAGCAATACATGAAGTTTCACCATTTCTTGCACATATTTTGGGCATTTAAGAGCCATTTTATAGAATTAGGTAATTTTCTCAGTTTATCGTGTGTGTTAGCTCATGCATATTTTGGTGAATGACTTTTGGGTGATTTGTTTTGCAAAATCTTTACGCAACCCTCCGTAGAAAGTTAAGGTAGTAGTGCGTGAAGCCTAACCATTTTTTGCACGTATTAAGAGTTATTTTACAGGAATGAATCGATTTTCTAAGTTTTTCGTGTGTGTTAGCCCATTAATATTTTTGGAATATGACTTTCAGACGATTTTTTTGCAAAACTTTTACGGAACCCCCAGTAGGGAGTTAGGGGAGTAGTGCGTGCATCCTCACCATTTTTTGCACATATTTTGGGCATTTAGGAGTCATTTTAATTAAATTTAGTGATTTTCAGAGTTTTTCGTCATTGTTAGCCCATACATTTTTGGTGATATGACTTCCTGACAATTTTTTTGCAAAATCTTTACGTAACCCTCCACAGGGAGTTGGGTCAGCAGTACATGACACCTCACTATTTTTTATACATATTTTAGGCATTTAGGAGCCATCTTACAGGAATTATGTGATTTTCTCAGTTTTTCGTGTGTTAGTAGCCCATAAATATCTTGATAATATGGCTTCTAAACGATTTTTTTTCAAAATCTTTGCGGAACCCTCTGTAGGGAGTTGGTGAAGCAGTACATTAATATATTTTGGCATATTGGAGCCATTTTATCGGAATTAGGCGATTTTCTCAATTTTCACGTGTGTTAACCCATGAATATTTTGGTTATATGGCTTTCAAGTGATTTTTTTGAAAATCCTTTACGGGACCCTCAATAACGAGTTGGAGGAAAAGTATGTATAGCATCACCATGATCCACGACATATTTTGACATTTAGTACATTGAGAGTTCGTGACCTATGGGGGACTCGCGAGGTCCATATACCGACACAGACGATCTCCATGTGTCTGTGTGGACGATCTCAACGCACTATCATAAAATCAAACAATCGAGCATGAACGATCTCCACGTGCCCAACTTATAATCATAAATCGATCTCAGCACGGATGATCTTCACATGTCAAACGTTTACTCATACTCAATCTTATGTCAATGCACGTGCACAATATAATATCAACAAAAAGGGATGATGATGCATCTCAATCAATCAAATGTCGGAATGACATATAATCACCTCAACTATCACAAATATACGAGTTCAATAGAGAAACACAACCACACAAAGGAAACCAAGTTAATGATACATCAGGTAACACCCATATACTTCGGCATTATCGGATTACAATCCATCACTCCATAATGATATACTTTTCCTTTATAACACCAGTACTCGTACCAATTCCCGTCACAACATTAGAACGAAACTCACATCTTCCGTCCTTACATTTAACAGAGTTTATGATAACACACTCTCTCTCACACACACAAAGAACAACCCACATACAAAGAGCATACAAACAATAGCAAACTCAGTTTGTTTAACATATTTTAAACCTAACAAAGTTTAAGGAACTTGTATTTTGAATTTGATTTACAAAAAGAAGATTTAATCATTCAGTTTCCCTCACGAGGGATATGACTATTTTATCATGTAGCATCAATCATCATACGTAAGTGTATATACTGTAACAGTATGAATATTGGGTAGCTTCTATGATCTAAATATTCAACAGCCATGACTCTCTTTCCATACCGCAATAACTCCAGTTCTGTCTTCCAGGAAGCGGAGTTTATGTTTTGGCATCAATCTCTAAGGGAAAAACGATGCTAGTCGTAGGCAATATGACGGAAGAAAGAACCAAACTCCAACTGAAGCCATAGTAACCATGGAAATGTGTCTTCCATCTAATGCTGTTTGTTCTTTCAAGTGAGTGATAAATGTTGAAAACTGAACTTTATTGTGATTTGAACTCAACTTCTCTGATAAACCGACTTATTGCACTGATCACAGTGAGAGGATTCTCTATATGTGCAGCATGACCAGAATATGGAATTTCAACTATTTCTGGAACGTTCGTAGTCTCTGTGCTCTGGCACATTGTGTCACGCATCTTTTGAGCAATGTTCTTAAATTTAACATCTTTCTCTCCAACAATGAACTGAAGGGGTACTTTGCAGCTCTTTAGATCTTCCCATAATGGCCTGTTATACATGAAGAGGACAATTAGAACGTGGGGACTTGGAACAGGGAAACAATAGAAGATGCACCAACATGTTCTGGAATATGAGGGTATCAGTTGAAGATATACTCAAGTTACTGAGATACACATATTGACTTCACATCATAACATGCCGTCTAACTAGAGATCTACTTAGGATAGCAAAAGATCAGAATGCCATGGAAAATTCAAAATCCAAAGATGAGAAGCATGACTCTAAGGTTTCTTGGAGAAATATGAACATTTCAATCAAATTGATTAGAACTTTCATGAAGAAAGTAAAAAGAAACAATTTAAAGGGCCTGCCCTATCAATGGATTCTATGCAATTCCTATTCCTTATGACAAATTCTAGCATAAATTAATCACTTTTCAGTCTGGAATTATTTTCTCTCAAAGTGCAAACTTTGCTCTTTTCTTTACTGGAGAAGCTTTTGACCATTAACTAAGAACCATATAAGCATGCTATTTCTGGTTTCTACCTGTACTAATGTTCAGCAATTCATCTCCTTAGCTCTTCTGAAGCCAAATATGAGAATTCTAAAGTGACAGTCATGGCTGAAAGCTGGAACTGACCCACTTAGACACTAGCGGCAAGAAAGACTCTTGTGAATGAAATTTTCTTACTAAAAAATGTCATTTTTTCCTTTCTATTTAGTTTAATAGCTTTTCCTACTTGAACTTTCTGTTTTCCTTTTTAACCTCTTTCCTGAAAAATAAAAAGGCAAATAAGAGAATTCACACCACAAATTGAAAACAGCAAAAGATTTCTCATCAACTTACGGCTGTCTCCCAACACTCAGATCTGCTAATACTCTCCCAAGATTTTTCAGATCACAATGCTGCAATCGGCTCGCAAGTATTTTATTGAAATGTGGATGAGTTCTTAAACTGCAGGATGCAAATATATTTAACATGTTAGCAATTGGTATGGCACAAATACCTCATGTAGCACAAAGCAAGAGTAGATGCAAACTCCTATAGAGAGAATCTCATCAATTACCTATTCCAGAGCTCTCCAGAATACCAAGCATCTAAAAATGGCTCTAAGCCAGAAGCAGCAAAAGAGCAGGCGAAAAAATCATCCTTGGCTCTACGCACTTTTCTTGCCTCTTCATCTATCAATCCAGGACTTCCAGCTATTATAACAGCTCCAGCAACCTTCCGTCAAGAATATTGAACAATCATATTAACTGGGAAATGCTCTGCAACATACCATGGAAAATATTTATACAGTATACCTTGTAATTGTATCTTAGAGCCATGTAGAGTGAAATCCTTGCTCCCATAGAATATCCAACAAGAACAATTTTTTGACACTGTAGACTGTCAAACAACTGCTGCAATATTTTTGCAAAGGCCATAATTGACAACCCTGGTTCCTCCAAATCAAAATCCTGGCCGAGCAACTTTGATCTTCCATGTCCAGGTAGGTCCACTGCAATGCATCTAGCTGAGCCTGATATAGCCTTCATAACAGAGATCCAATCTCCTCCAGTTCCAAGGAAGCCATGAAGAAATACTACTACACTACTCTGCATAGCTCAGATTGTGCATAAAAGTATATCATTGGGTACTTCAAGGTTAATGAGAAATAGAAAAATTGTCACCATGTTAAATAACAATATTTCTTTTTTGATAACCGTGGTGTCTGAACTAGCTGACGCACACCTCAACTAGTTCCACAAGATACCTGCCACCTCCCACAAGCAACAGGTACTAGGTAAGTCTGTCCACCAAGGTTAGGAAAGATGGGAAGAAATCACCTAGTATTTTTGCCGCTGCTGGAATTTGAACCAGAGACCTCATGGTTCTCAACTCACTTCATTGATCAATAGGTCACACCCTTGGGTGCTGCTAAATAACAATACTTTACAACCATAATTGCTAAAACTGGACTTATAATGAAAGCAATCAAGCAGGAAAAATAAGATGACATCTGGTACCCACTGTCAATTGTTTTTCCCTATTTTTTGTCCAGCTGGATTCAGCACAATTAGATTGCAGTAAACTTCTTCAACTAGCTATTAAGCATTACCAGAAAACATAATTTGACTACTTACATCATCCTTCTTTCCAATTTCTTGCACGTTAAGACAGATGGAGGCACCTTCAAGATCTGCCACAAATTCATATGCATGAAGTTCTCTGGAAGTACAATCAGGAACAACTGCATCTTGGTTGAATTGAAAATGCTGCAGGATTTGAGCAGCGTCAGTAACACATGCCTCCACAACACCGTTGCAAGGATTATAGCCAATCATTAAAGGCGTTCTGCTAACATCTTCCCTAAGCCATTGATAAGTTCCAAGACCGTGGGCTATGCAAGAGTTCTCTTCCTTGTTAAGCATTCTTCCTGTATCTAACTTCATCAGGTCAACATACCGTGAGAACAGAATTAGAGCTGATAAACCCAAGGAACTTTCAAATGTGGCACTGATAACAGCCATCTTTCCGTGCTGGTGAGCCCATCGCGCAAGCAATGCTGCATTTTCAAAACCGCCAACGACGCTTGGTTTGATAACCTGACAAGATTTGGAAACTGCTTTTATTTGTAGTAACAAAGTCAAATCCAATTACCTATTTACTGTAACTGTAAGCCTACTTTGATCAAGATCCCAATTTTGATAATAACTGGACTTTGCCTTTGAAACTTCAGTAGATGCAGCCATGAAGTTCAGTTTGTTATTTTCAGTTTTCATACGTTGATATCCTTTCGAACATATAGTGATACAATAATAGGTACATAAGACAAAGTAGAGGATTCACTTCATATGAAGAATCTAATGACTGGCTGTAGTCATTATTTTTGTTTATATTTTTTTTTCAAGATGGAGAGGGGGATGTGACCCGGCTCTCTGTCCTGTGCAAGTAAATGGGTTTCAAAAGACCAGATGATTCATTTCATTAATTACTTCGGACCAATAAGATTGAAATTTTTATGCAGATCATTACAAGATTGACTCATATATATACAAATCTAATAGGGAAGAATTCCTTTTTTTAATAAGTATCTAAAAGGGATAATTTCCAAATATAATACCTATGTACAACAATTAAAAACATGCCACATTCTAAGTAATGATAGACCATAATACCCTGCAAACTTACAAAAGCAACTATCATTGGGTGATTGTACTTTGCAAGCACTTTAAGGTGATTTTTTCTTATACTGTTGATAGTTTCATCCAGAGCTACTGGTAAGCCAGTCTCCTCGCAGAACTTGATTATATCATCTTCATTATTAACAGGCTCCTGAAATAACCAAAAAATTATTCAAGTATCTAATATCATAGGAACTGAGAAATAATGACAGAGAAATGAATGCTTAACATTTAGGCAAACTATGATGTTTAATTGTCTGAGCATTAAAACAATGGCCGAGGGACAGGACACAAGCAATTTACCATTTTCTAAACTACCAATCCCTGAAATTAGGTATCCAGTAGATTGAACCTTTACAACTTAAAATGCTTCCTTTAGTTACGGTAATGTAATGCCTTGGGATGTTATTTCTTTAATGGATTTCTTCACAAGTCACGTCTTATTATTGCCTTTTGCAACTATATTACTTTTATTTTATTCAAGACTAATATCTCTTTTATACCTCTTCAGTAATATAACTTACTAACTCTAAGTTATCACTGTACTTCTCTATTTGTTTGGTGTAGAAACATGAAGTTTGTAGAATATAAGTATTCTGATATGCCAGTAATGCTGCATATTTTGATGTAAAGACCAAGATATGTTGAACTTCAGCACAAATATTGTTTGAGTCTACAACATCAAAGGAAGTAAAGAGGGAAAAGAGGAAAGATCAATGGCTTCTGAAGAAATAGATGACAAAATGCATTTAAATCTGTTGACAAGCTTAATTGTAAGAGATGCATCTTAGTCTAATTACTAGCTTGATTGTAGGAACTTTGTATCCCAATTAGCTGTAACTAAATATTCTCTCTAATTATTTTCTTTCCCAGAATAGTTGTAGAACTCACTCATGAGATGCAAGGATATACTGAAATACAAAGAAGCCTCTCTTTTCACTCAAATTCTACAAAATCTTACTCCCTCCATCTTGAAAGTCTTCTCAGTGGTTCTGGCCCTATAAAGGCATTTTGTTCCCTAACTGCTTGAAATTATGACTACCTTACAAACATCTAACAAGTGTTTTGGTACATTACCTCAATATACTGCAGGCCACTGTCTTTTACAGAAAGTCCAAATTTAACAGCTTCATCATAGTTCCAACTTTGATTTGCATCAGCACGCAGCTCAATCTCCCAACCAATTTTCTTCCTTACCTCCTTTATAATTGCAATGTCCACAGTGGGATCTGCTTGACGTGCTACCTGTGTGAAAAAAAAAGTAGTTAAACTCTTTTACAAATTGGAATCATAACAGCTTCCACTGAAAGTTACAAAATTACTAACAAGTTTCACATTTTGTAAATGATACTCCCACCTTTAGCTTTATAGCAGTAAATCCTTCTCTGACAAGTGTTGTTGCAACAAGAGCCATTTCACTGGGACCACCATTAGACTCAAGCAGTGCACAAACTTTGACATCTAAAGAATTCTCAATTGATTCTTCTCTGTGTATGCAGAGTACATTCAACAGGCTTGAACCTTCTCCAGCTGCAATAGCATTGAGGACAGCCATCTCCAGGCCAAATCTCACACTTGGGAAGATTGAATTGGGCTAGAAATGAAGTGAACATAATTCAGAAGTAATAAATTTGGAGAGATATAAGGGGAAGCCCGGTGGACTAAGCTCCTGCTATGCACGGGTCCGTGGAAGGGTCGGACCACAAGGGTCTATTGTACTGAGCCTTGCCTTGCCTTGCATTTGTGCAAGAGGTTTTTTCTACAGCTTGAACCTGTGACCTCCTAGTCACATGGAAGCAACTTTACTAGTTACACCAAGGTTCCCCTTCAATTGCAGAATCTCTAGATGTTCCTATTACCATCCATCAAAAAAGAAGATGCATCAACCTACCTGGATACCTAAGCTTTGCCACAACCAACGAGCAAATGAACCCTTCAGCAAAGGAAGGGAGTGGTCAATAGTAGCTCCTTCCACAACATGAATAAGGAATTGAAGCTGCTCTTCCACATCAAGTAGGTTTTCTTTGTGGATCTCAAGCGGTGCAACCTGTTATATTAATAGATGACAATCCAGAATATTTCAGCTTTCCAGAGTTCTGTCTAGAAATTAGAGAGGAAGGCACGGGGACCAAGAGAGGGAGAGGGAGGAATAAAGCAATACATTGTCAATAATTTTAAAGCTTATTCTTGAAAACTTGGTTTATCAAGAAAATCTGGGTTACAAGTTGAATATCATATGCTCTTCATTTCTCTCCAGTGAAAAAGTACAAACAGCAAGATGACATGCTTTACTAAGTTAAATAGACTAAGTTGCCTACTTTAGATAAGTATTTTCAATTAATGTTTCTGAAGCAATACAAGGAAGAGCTCATCAATTTACTATTTATGATACTGTTAGGTTTACAATATTTCACACTTTCTGACCCTACTTATGAGGCAGACGAGGTTTCCTTTTAATGACTCATGAATTATGCCTGTTCTGATTCAACTTCATAAACAAGCATGGCTGTTCCGACAATATCTGGCTGTTCTGACAATATCATGTATTATTTGTATCTACGTACAAAAAGGAATGTTCAACTGAGCATTCAACTACTGCACAGCTGCACCATCTGTATCAAACTGGAATATCATAGTATGAAAAAGAAAAGCTATCCTCCAAGCCTAAAAGCAAGTATTAGCAGTCACCTTTAGCTAAGCGCATCTCACTTCATCATTTCCTGTTGCAAGCTGCCCAGCTATCACAATTTTAGAGTAGCCAATTTATGACATGCACAAGACATTGTTATTGACTTGGATTGCATGACACCCTTCTCTACGCTAAAAGCTTCTCTTATTTCTATTAATTAATTTGCATGTATGATATAATGGGATTATTAGATAATAAGACTAATGATGCCTAGAGGCAAGGCCAAAGATGAGAATTACCATGCCATCCAATATCTGTTGTGACTTGTGAGAAGCCCATCATGAGAACTTAATATTTAAGGTCAACCTTTTCCATGACCACAGACCAGTTCATTAGATTGACTGTCAATCATCCGTATGCAAGAGAAATTCATATATATATATAGAAAGAGTAAGATGATTTGGCAATCCCAGGACTGGAAAGCATTCACAAATAATGAGGGGAGTTGGATGAAAATATGGACTTCATAATCACCAACAACACTTCATGGTTTCAACCCCAATGTTATATACTATATCTATCATGATGTTTTAAATTTAGCTGTAACTGTGCACTCTAAGCAGGTATGTCACTGTCACAGCTCAGTCCATGGCACTTATTGTCTGCCTTGGCCCAACGGACCTCACAAGTTTGTCCCTTGGGCTACGTCATCATTGAGTCCAAAACCGTGGGTACCATGTGAACTTGTGCTCTATCTTATATAGCATTCTCTCTCTCTTTCAGATGTAAATTTACCTAAGGTGTCATGTGTAACTCTACTTCATAAGATTGTCATACTAGATGTCTACCCCTTCCTCTTAACATGCTCTTATCAGTTCGCCCTCTGTCAAAGGCGTCATATACACCCCCTTTTAGGGATTAAGTTTTCTCACTGAGCTTCGAGCCACCATCATACTATGGGAATCTGACTCTGATACTTAATTTGTCATATCCACATGTACTGTCCACTCTGGCCCAACAGACATCACGGATTTGTCCCATGAGCTATGCTGTCATCAAGCCCAAAAGCACCAGTAACATGTGAACTTGTGATCCATCTTATGTAGCACTTCGCTTTTCTCTCCCTTCATTGCCTAAGGTGTCATGTGTATCCCTTTTCCAAAAAGCTTGCCATTTTTTCCTTTTGATCCGTCCTCATTATCCTACCTTCCGTCAGGACAGTCACAATCGCATGAATTCAGCTAATATTATGTTTCTGATAAGGGTGCAGCACAGTTATTTGCTTTTAATTCAATTTATTTTATTTTATTTGGTTAATTTTTAGTACATTTTGGAGAATCCGTACAAAGTACTCATACCTATTTCATAACCACTCAATATTGATATGTCAAAGCAAACAAAGGATCCATGTAACATAGCTAAATATTAACTACGAAAATTTCAAGAACAAATGCTAGAACTATGCATCAAATAGCTTCTAAGTTGCTGGACTATCTACAAATCATGAGATCCTCCCCGAGGAGGGTGAGAATCAAAATATGATTGTGAATTACCTCCCCATATCCAGTACTACCATCTTCAAGATACAAACTTATAATGAAGCCTTCTCTGTGGTAGGTGGATCTGTGACTGGCAGAAGATGAAGTAGGAGGAGAGGACAGCTGAATTCTACCATAAAACAGTATGAAAAGTCGTGTCAATTTTTCAGGACCCCAAACAGAAAATGTCTGTGCAGTCTATAAATGCTAACCTATATTTTGAGTACTGCATTTTACCAACTTTGCTGGGTATGAACCCATCATTCGTGGAATTCAAAACAGTTAGTTTTGAAAGGCTGTTGAAAGCATGATCCACGCCTTGCTGTGAAACTTTTCTCAGCATACTGAAAGAAGAAAATGTCTTAGTTGGGAATGTTCTCACTAGTTTAAATTAATAAGACATTGGACTTTAATATAACTACCTATGAAAGGCAGCATTGGCATCAATGGTGCTATCAACCTCTATAACAAAATCTTCCTTGTCTCTTTGAGATGCTAATAGAGCATCTTGTAGTTCCATTTTGCTCTGTACTTTCAAATGCTTCACACTGAAAACAAAGTATAAAAAATTTAAGGAACCAAGTTTGGTTAATATGGGGTTTGAAAAGGCAATATCAACTTTAAACCAATATTTGTATCAAACTATTAGAAGAAACTTGTCTCAGTTTATTAAAACGAATTTCTTACTAAAGAAGTAAGTTCTAGAAGAATGCAATAATGACTTTGTGATATAAGACACATAATTATGGTGTGAGAAACAAGCCATAATACAGTATGGGATAATATAACATGGCACCCTAACATTCTAACTTACCCTCGAATAACTATTCTTTTCTATTTTCGGCAACCATTATAGCAGTACAAGTTTTATTTCAAATGAGCATTCTGGCATCAAACCCTTTTTAAATGACTCTTCTAGCTGCACCACGTTTCTTTCCGGTAATCATTTTGGCAAAACAGAGCCTCTTTTCTATGATTGCTCTAATGGCTATTGGCTAGGCATCTCTTCTCGATGGCCATTCTAGAAGCATAACACCTTTTTTTCTGGCAGCACATTGCCTTTTTTGCTGTGACCATTTTGGTAGTACCATACCTCTTTCCAGCCATTCTCAGGAAGCCAGTTTTTCCTCAGAATGCCTGCCACTATAACTTTTTCATCAATATTTGGTGATAACAACCTTTTCCATAAGTTTTTCAAACAACCTTTCCATCATCTACCTAATTTATATTTTTCAAAATAAGCAAATCTAAGTCGGTTTTGGCACCTCAAGATTCAGAAGGAATGTCAGAATGCTGTGATAGTCTTGTAATGTTAAAAGTAAGAAGACGTAATATGAATCATCTGTAAAGATTATGAACTCTGAAACAAGACGTAATATGAATCATCTCTAAAGATGTAATATACTTGGGTCAAAACCAGAAAATTCATGCATCTATCTTTAAAGGGGTAGTATACATATTATATTGACATTATAACAAAACAACATACAAGAAGCATATTAATTTCACTACAAAATGCTTGCCCTTCATTGCTAAATTTTAGACAGCATGATGATGGAAGGATATAGGGGAATGAAAAAATGAAACTACTAGTAATCTATAAGGAAAGACGTTCCCCATCGAAAGTGTCCCCCACTGCAATAAAAATGTGAACTTCATAATAAGGTTGCTGCTAGAGTAGGAAGTCCTATATTCTTTATGAAGAGATATTCATATATACAACTTGAGTCCAAAGATTTTGTAAGTAGATAAAGCACTGAATATCATAAAAGGGGGAAATCTCCTGATGCAACACTGATTCCAATGTTAAGAAGCTGTGAACCTGCATGCTTCAATAAAGCTCCCTTACACCCTAAGACACGTATTGTTCAGGGAAATCAAGTTGAAGGGGAGCAACAGGTTCCTCGTCACACTTGAGCAGGACCTGTAATAGATGTTTCAAGAGCAACTGATAATACAGGAAAGAAGAAAAGAATAAGAGATCTAATGGAGCAACTGACAGAAACAGAGATGCTATAGATATATTGACTCTCTATCAGTTAAAAAATGAAGGTCCCAGAATCCAAGTAGGAGATAAGGCGAGCAGTTTGGGTGAATCATAGAAATGTGTGTTCTTCACGAAAATTGAGTCATGAACATACCGTGCTCAAGAATGAAACACTGGAAGGCACAAGTCCAAGATGGGACAACATACACTGTTTTGAAAGAATAGCAATCAAAGAAGACAATGAGGAGAATAGATTGTTGTACAGGGAGACATCTCAAGGATATTTGTACAAGTTGTCCACGATACTCTGGCACCTAGTTTGATATTGTTGAGTCCCACATCGGAGTACGAGGTGTAATTTAGTCTCTTTATATGTTCTTGGGCAATCCTCAAAGCTCATTTGGAGTTGAGTTAGGTCCAAGGCCCATTTTTTTTGTTATTGTATCAAAGTTAATCCCATGTCAATTATTGGTTTACCCAATGTTGGACACTCATATTATATTGTCCATGCTCCAGATGTTCAGTCCTGAGCATGGGAGGGAAGGATGTTGAATCCTACACCAGTTTAGGAGGGGTAATTTGGTCTCTTTATATGGTTTGAGTGATCCACACTACATGAGCTAACTTTTGGAGTTGAGTTAGGCCCAAGGTCCATTTTCTTATCAGTTAACTCATAGGAATAATCTTATCAGGAATAAGAAGATAAGAAGGTCGAGGTTGGCAGAAGCAACAGAAAATCAAGATGTAACTTTAGAGCTGAAAACTGGAAGTGAAATTGTGACATTAATACAAAATTAAAATCATATATTAACAGCAATATATACGTAACACAAACAATAAAATAAATTGATGTTTAATGGAAGTGGCAACAAACATTTCTTACTCATGTGCCATGCATAGGTTGTGAATTGAAACATTATGAGATGTGTAGAAATACTGGTCTAAAATGCTTCTTTCAGTCATATTTGCAAGAGGAAGAAGACTGAATATGGCGCCACCACGGTTGTTAATAACAACTATAGTCATGGGCTTCCGCAGCATCCTTCAAACATAAAAGAAATATGTATCATTTGGTGAGTATAACTTTTCATGTAATTTTCCATACATGAAGCAGAAAGATCTTTAACATAATAATATATCATCTAAATCATATGCTACGTTAGAAGTCAAAATCAAATATAGCCCATCAGTCCACCACATGAAAAATTCAAGCATGATTCATACGATCTGTCCAAGGAACCAAAACAATCGACTACCTATCATAACAAGCAATGGATAAGAAGGAATACAGTATTAAAGGAGCATGCATAAGCAGTAGGAATTTGAGATAAAAGACTTGCCTTCTATGAAAACAAGAAGTCCAGTTAAGATATTGAAGAAACCAATCAGTTTGAATTGCACTTTAATGGTAGGAACACAAGTACAAGGCTGAGGAGCAAAAACCCAATAAACATGAAAAAGGAAGTTCTGCAGCATTAATAAATACTAAAAAAAGAGCAAATTAGAAAAGTAGCGACAGCGGGGGTTGCTTTATGACATGTTCTATCTAAAACCAAAAGGCAAATAAGGATAATGAAAAAGAAAACTAAAAATGGTAATTTCACATCATAGCTTCATTTTTCTATAATAACACATGTCACTAATTGAATCAGCTCTAACAAAGCAGCATTGAAGGATGTTAAACAGAATGGAAAGAGAAGAAAAATAACACTACTCACTGCTTTCTCAAAAGGGACAGCCCATTTGTATCATGCAGAAAAGAAACATCTCCAACTACACAAAGTACCTAAAAAGAAGCACAATGTTAAATTCCACAATCATCTGTGAATAATGCATGAAATAACAGAAGAAAAATCTCCAGAACAAAGGTGAACCACAGAAAAAGGAAAATGATATCACTTCAAGCTAATGATTTTGAAGGTTGAACATTGAACAGGGACTGGAAGCTAGAGCAAATTGAACTGAGTGATAATCTAATTGCTAAGAATTGTATTAGTTTCAGAAACTAAATGGGCTTTGAGCAGTCTTAAAAAATATATGAGGTATCTTTGCCAGCCATAGTGGAGTGTGATATTCATATTTTATACTACTTTTCATTGGTGCCAGCCAATTCTATATCTTACATCACACCTCAGCCAGTGAGGGAAAATATTTGCTCCAAGATTGTTCTTGGACACAAAAAGCTATAAAATAAATCACCATAAGAATTGTAGTGTGAAGCAATTACAAGAAGTAAACAAAAGTAACCAAACTTCAGTGACCACATACAATGAAAAAAAGAAAAGGCCAACATAAAGGGAGTTCTTATTACACTACATTCTTGGTAAGAGCAACGTGATTCTTAATTAGATTCCAATGAATGATTACTAACCAAATATTGTTATTTAGATCAAAGTTTAATCCACTCACTCTTTTGTTGCATCCAACTGCAAAACCAACAGCTGTGCTAAGCAGACCATCAATACCACTAGCTCCTCTGTTAGCAGCGACCTGAATAAAGTGGCAAGCTAATTCTGAGCTGAATATGACTTCATCCTGGGTACGTTCTACCCAGTTAAAGTTACATGCATACATGTCTGCATCACGTATTGGCATGCTGTTACCCAAAAATACAGCAGACTCGCAGTGAATAGCTTCCAGAGTCATTTGTGCAACACAAGGCTCAGTTAAGGAGTACTCAGAATTGATTAGAAATGAGATATCCCATGCAGCCTATATAACAGGAATGGAAGTCAATAAAATAACTAAGATTGTGGCAAGGAATAGTTATGAGAATAGGATGAATAATAAACACAAGCAATAGTCATACTATAAGAGGAACCAGAAACTCAAACAATTACTAGCTGACTTAACAAGAAATAAACATGCACTTTCTCTCCCTCGAGAAGCTTTCAAAAATAACCACATCATAATTGAGGATTTCTTTTTATGACAGTGGTGTTTGGGCCAGCTCGCACACACTTTGACTATTACACCAGGACCTGCTACCCCCCACCAACACTGGCACCAAGTAACTTTGTCACCCAACGCATGGGAAAAAAATCACCTAGTGGTTCTCTTCTACTTTATTGACCACTAGACCATATCTTTTTTTTATAACCGCAGTGTCCGGGCCAACTTGCAGGCACCTCGACGAATTCCACGACATGCCTGCTACGTCCCACCAACAATAAGTACCGCGTACTCTGTCACCCAAGGTTTAGGCAACTGGGAAAAAATTCACCTAGTGGATTTTGCCTCTAGTGGGATTTGAACCTGAGACCTCATGGTTCTCTTCTACTTAATTGACCACTAGACCATACCTTTTTTTATAATTGTGGTGTTCGGGCCAACTTCCGCGCACCTCAACCAATTCCACAGGAGACCTGCTACCTCCCACCAATAATAGGTACCGGGTACTCTGTCCACCAAGAATTAGACACATGAGAAAATCACCTAGTATTTTTTGTCTCCGCTGGGATTTGAACTGAGACCTCATTGTTCTCTTCCCACATCATTGACCACTAGGTTACACCCTTAAGTGCCACTAGCCCATACCCTTGGGTGCATCAGAACTGAGGATTTTATGTAGCAAGCATCATATTATTGTGTTCTAATAAACTTGCAGGCAGGCACTTAATTGGAGGAAGTGTTCTGTTGAACTCCTTAGTCTTAACTTATTTGCTCATAGCTTTGTCCGAAGTTTTGCAATGCCATGCAGGCAATATCTGGAAATGTGGAATCTGGAAAATCAGATGCATAACTAACACTGGCAATAGATTTAGAGGTACATGTCTATAGAACATATGCATATTTGATATCACACGCGCTTGCAGACAAAGAGACACTTAGATTGATATATATATATAGAGAGAGAGACAGACAGACAAACAGAGAGAGACACAGAGAGAGAGCGACAGAGAGAAAAATTCATGGACTATATTAAAAGTTCAGCTTCGATCTACACATCTCCTAATACTTTAAGACTAGCTCTATAATATCTATTACAGTAAAATGATAGAGCTGCAATTAAGAGTTGATGATGTCAGAGTTATCCTTTTCTATCTTTTACTTGCATCTGGAGGAAGGGACAGAGTAGAAGTTCAAGGAAATATGTCACATACAGGAAATATAAACATTATACACAGATTCATAATTTACAGTATGGAAGACGATACGAAGTCAATTAAATTACATACCACACTGTTCAATGCTTGTAAAAAACATTCCCATTTTCTCCTAGGATGTGGTGTACAAGCTGTGATCAAATAATCTGCAAACTGAGGAATCGCACACTGGATTCTATGTGTTACAATATGTGAAGGATCATGACGACTTGGATGATTGTCAACCATTATATATGAACATGGAAAACAGCTCTCTAGCAGTTGAGCCACACGCTTGCTTGTTATCCGACTTCCAATCTGTTATATGTACCAACTGAATGAAGTTCCTTATTTGGCCATAATTAACTAAATACATGTACCATGAAGCATAATTTCATATACATATAATTTAACAGAATATATTGTGTCTACTCGTTGAAATCCAACTAAAGCAATACTAATTTCGTCTCCGGGACATGATTCAAAGAATATAAAGTTTCCTACAAGAAAACAGAATCAGTCATGGACAAAGGGGAGGTTTTCAAGCAATGGTGGAAAGTTATCTGCAAATCAATTACACCCCAGCAAATGTTAATACATTCACTTAAGAATGTCAGCATAAGAGGTCAAATGTTTTAGTATTGTATGCTTAGGGATGGCAATGGGTAGAGAGGGGCCAGGCAGGGCAAGGCAGGGGAGGACATAAATGGGGCAGAGCAGGGCAAAATTTATTTTGGTAAAAATTTCATTGGGGCAGGTCAGGTGGTGGGTTTTGGAGAAACAGACCTAAGCCCACAAAAATTAGCAGAGTAGCGATCATGTCATAAAAACTTATATTCATTCCGCTTTATGCGAGCACATTTCATTACAACATTAGTATATAATGTCTTAAAGAAATAAGGATCATTATCAACAGAAAAAGGGGAAATTACCATTTGTCTTAAGGAAAGATTATTCAGTAGCTACATAAATATATGTTACCAAATTTAAGACGAGCTGGAGTTATAAATGCTCACACCCAATTTACAAAACTGGATCAAAAAGAAACATTTCTATTATGTGTCAAATAGACAACCGTTTAATTTTAATATAATAAAAGTTTAATTTTGCTTTTCATAATTTGTGTCTAGTGCTTTAGTAAAAGCAAAGTAACAAATGCCAAGATGGGGACCAGAGAGATAATTGTTATAGCCCTTGGATTGAATGAGAGAATAAGGCAAGGCTACTATTATATATTTATTCTACTTTCTGGACACGCCAAACATTGAGGTTAAATTTGGTTATATTGTATAAGGTAGGTATGTCTAATTTATTCTATCTTAATTGTTTGCGTTAAGACACAGCAATCTCGCCTAATCTTATTTCATCTTCATTCTTCTTATGAATGGTAATTTGCAGGCATATATTTACACTTCTACATATCCTAAAATCTTAGTTTATTGGGTATTTCTCCATAATTCCAACTATAGATTGACTTGGGAGATCTCTTTATATATATGACTTGGGCAATCTTCACCTCTTGAGCTAGCTTTTTGGATTGAATTAGGTCCAAGATCCATTTCTTTAACATAACTCATTAGTGTAATGTCACAATAATTGTACGACTTTATATATTTATATCCTTTGTCCTTATATATCGAAATCAAAGTAGTCTTTCCTTATATATTGAAATCAGAGTAGTCTTTCCTTATATATCGAAATCAAAGCAGTCTTACTCCACTCATTTGATTATGATATTCAATTGCTTAGCTAGCCATATACAACCAGAAGGTTCCACACATTTTTAGTACAATAAGAGAAATTAAGACGAGCCATCCATCATTAAACAAAATAGACACTACGGAAAGGTCAATAATCAGCAATTTTGAAAGACCCAGGAAACTAATTCTCTTATGAGTAATTCCTATTTCAATCACAAAATACGTTGCTCCAACTTGCCCCAATTTTGAAGGATAGAATCAGAAGTATTATTCCTATCCTACTATCTATATTTTTATATTGTTAGGCACAGGCATGAAATGGAGAAAGTGAACCAATGACATCTTCTCTTAAGGAGTCAAGAACCAATGACAGAAACAGGTTCATCCCAAACACAGTACATGCAGCTAGATCAGAGAGAACCTAAGCACATACCTGGATTATCACATCTGCCTTCATCCAATCCTTGATGGAGTCTGAAAGTAGCATATGATCTAGATGATCGATAAAAAGAATACTATCTTCAAATTCAGGAAATGGAACAAAATATCTTCTCAGTCGGAGACCTGACAGAATGTCAACTACAACGGGCCATGAAAGGTGTTTAGCAAGGAGAAGAGCAGCCCATATGTCATCCTCCCGGTGTATAGCGCCAAGCAACAGAAAGCCTCTACTTGCCTTTTTTATCACTTTCAGAGCTTCATCCATAAAGGTATTGTAGTTGCATCTACAAGAATGTTGAACTCGGATATAGCTGGTAAAAGGTACACTGGTTGACATCCAAGAGTCTAACCCTCTTAAACAAATAGGGTTCCATGTTCTTGGGCTATTTTCCAGTGGTTCTCGAAAAGGACAGTTGATATGAACTGGACCACTTGGTGAAGAAGTTGCAATATGAACAGCAGAGTCAATGGAGGTAAGCACCATTCTTGCAGAAATATCATCACTGGGAACAGGAAGACTGAGGAAGTGCCTCACAAATGGACCAAAATGATTGACCTGATTGATGGCTTGGTTTGCTCCAACATCTTGCAGCTCTGGAGGTCGATCTGCTGTAAGTAACAGCAGCGGAACAAATTCTTGACTGGCTTCCACGACCTGTGCATTTCCATGGAACAGTTTAAAAATGACTTGATGCAACATTGCAAATAAATAGAATCCTACCTTCAAGAAGAAGGGGAATCTCTAAAGAAAATTAAACTTTTTCTTCAAGTATAAGTGGATGCTCTAAAGAGAAATGTAAAATGATGCATAACTAGGACACATAACTTTCTCAGGCTAATATTACATCTTACCCTATTGCAATACACGATACATTTAAACTGATACAAGCATGTCCATGCAGCCGCAGATATATATCTCCTAAAGAAGTAGCATACTAGCAAACCATAGCAAATATTGTCATGTCAATCAAGCTGGCTGCTTTATATAAGCTACTTGTGGAATATAGCTTCGTAAATTAAATTTGAATTAACATGTAAATAACGAGGAAACAAGATAGTAATGAAAACTGTTGAAGTGAATATGAATATTAAATCTTAGTACTCACAGCAGGATGAAGATTTGAAACTGCTGTGCCTGATGACGTGATGATAACAGCGGATTTATGAGAACTTCTGGCATAACCAACGGCATGAAATGCAAGTGAGCGTTCATCGATGCATGCAATACAACTTGTAGTAGGATGAGTAGAAGCAGCAATAGCAAGAGGAGATGACCGTGATCCTGGAGCTACACAAAAATACTAGATGTGAAAGAATCAGATACTTGTAGTCCAATTAAATAAAATTTGTGAAGTTACAGATATTCTTACCGTCAGACCAAGTCGAGTGCATTCCTCAATTATAAGTGATGCCCACAAGATATTGATGTTTGCGCAATCTTTCAAGCGGCAACTAAATTGAGTGTGATCATTTTGTCGAGGCTGAAAAACAGTAATGACCATGTGAGAAATATAGGAGAAAAATATTATTGAATTGTGTCTCTATATTATTACACTAAGACCCTATTAATAGACACTACAATACAATCCTTTTCCAAGTAGGATACTACATACTAATCTTTTTCCAAGTAGAATTCTATATACTATCCTTGTTCCTATTCCTATCTAACACTCCCCCTCAAGCTGGTGCATACAAGTCATATGTACCGAGCTTATTACAGATATAATTAATACAAAGACCGGTGAGGGGTTTGGTGAAAGATATTTGCAAGTTGATCACTCGACTTCACAAATTTAGTAATAATATCTCCCGAGAGTATCTTTTCATTGATAAAGTGACAGTCAATCTCAATGTGCTTAGTCCTCTCATGAAATACTGGATTTGATGCGATATGAAGGGCCGCTTGAATATCACACAAAAGTTTCATCTAACCAATTTTTCCAAATTTTAGTTCTCTCAGCAACTGTTTGGTCCACACTAGCTCACAAGTCACTAGATCGAGCAACCACACTTTGATTCTTACACTTACTGGACACCAAATTACCTCCCACTAAAACACAATATTCGGATGTAGAATGAAAAAGCCACGGAAAACTGGCAGGAATAGGCTCACACACTGACGCATGGTATTAACGTGATCGTTTGGACCTTAGATCTAGCTACGCATAAGGGATCTGCAGCCAGCAAGGCTGATTGGGCTTTGGTCGCCAGAGGTTGCTGGACCTTGTAGTGGTGTTGGATTTTACACAACACCAACGAAAATAGAGAGAGAAATGGGTAGTCACCAAATTCGCAGTGACTAATGATATCGCTGGAATGATGCACAGGATACTTTCCAAGAAAGTGGTCGGACAGAGGCTCACGCACGCAGCGCGTGGTGTAGATCTCACCACAGAAGGCTTCTTTCGACAACGCTTGGGGAGAGTGGAAGGTTTTCTGCTGGTGGAATTTTGTGGGTAATGGTTGCGACTCACGAGAGGCTGGGGGACCCCGTGGTGGTGTTGGTTTTCGTACAACACTAATGGATACGGGGTTGACACCACACAACCTTAGAAAGTCGCCGGGATTTCACTCACAACAGCTATTTGACCTTATTTTCTTTCAATTATATTTTGTCAGTCCTTCCTCTCAACATGATTGTTTTTCATGCATTTATCATTAGCCCTACTTTTGTTAACATAATCATTAGCCAGACGGGCGACACATGTTTTCTAGAGTTGTCCACCGGCAGCAAAAACATTTTGATTCTCTACCAAATCATAGAAGCTCTGATACATGTGAGAAATATAGGAGAAAAATATTATTGAACTGTGTCTCTACATATACTGAGACCCTATTTATAGACACTTTAGTACAATTCTTTTCGAAGTAGAATTTTATATACTATTTTTGTTCCTACTCTAATTCTAACAGACCCGAAGTAGTAACTCGAAGGTTTCAGTTGAGCATACATCAAAAAAAGCAACTAAAATGAAAGTCGCATTTTCTAGAAAAGGAAGACCCCGTCACTACAAGTTTTATATACTTTCACTAGTGATGAATTCAACCAATAACTTGGATACAGATAGAAATGTCATCTATCGAAAGGGCTTCATATTGTTCATAGTGCGTACAAACATATTTTGAAATGGAAACACTAACATTACAGTCAGGTCCACAAAATGTATCTCTAAAGCACAGATTTAGAATAATTTGTGAGAACTCTTATGATGCTGAAAAAGCAGAACACTTGCCCAAATATCAGAAAAGCTTCATCAATATGAGCTAGCAAAGGAATAACATAGAAAGGACAGGCTCACTAACTAATGACTGACAACTGAAAAATAACGCCTTTAGAGGTTTTAATTGTAATAGTTTATCAGTCCTGAGCATTCCAATGAATCAAAGACTACCTCAATGACGGATGAGAGTGGCCTTCAAATGAAAGAGGAATACGGAAGTAATTAAACTGGCTAGAAGAATGACACAAGGAAAATGGAAAAATCATCTCAGTTTCGAACCTGAAAATCACAAGACATAAAAGATGGAAGACACAAAAGAAGCTTTCTATATGAAAAATTATTTGGTTCACTACAAGATTAAGAAAGGATTTTGAATCAACGAATTTCAGAATTCATAATTTCAAATATGTACAATAGGTTCAAATATGGGATCTTTGTTCATGTCGAATTGCTCAGGCCAAAACCATCCACAATAGCCTATAAGGCTTTAGTGTGATAAGAGGCAATTTTTTGGTAGCTAATGCAATTGAATTTAGAATAAAAAAATTCTTGCACATGATACAAAGATGTTTCACCAAAATGAGGATAGGCCACTGTCTCTTTGGCATAAATATTTTGCAAACTAATATTCATCTGGTCAATGCAGGATTAGTTAAAGTCAAAAGAATAATACCCAGCATTAGATTCTACTGCTGAACTTTTTCTCATTTGCCTCAAAACTAAGGACATCTAAAGAGAGCATAGGGAAAAATATAACCTACTTCCTCACATGTGGTAACAGGGCATTTAGATGCTAACATATGTTAACTAAGAGGAGAACAATAGCTAACTTCATTTTTTTTTTACCTTATAAAAAAACAAAAGCTAACTGTTTTTTTTCCGCAAGTTAGAACATAATGGTAATTTTCTTGTCAACTCAAAGCTAGCTTTTTTTGGGTACTTCTTTTCTAAACATGAGGTTACCCTATCTGAGGGATACTGGTCTGGAAACACATCGGTGTTAAATCACCAAATTAGCTGACAAGCAAATGCAACATTACTGGCATCATATTTGCTGGAAATATATCTTCCAGAATCTTCATGCTTGAATTTTACGTAGCCATCTTTACCGAAAACCACCACCATCACCACCCGGTTTATAGTACTAAGACATATTTAACATAATATAAATAAATTACTTAACTAACCAGTCAGTAAAAGAAATTTGTATTCTCTTAACATAATCTCTGCTAGAATTTTGGCCATAAGCACATTCATGTAAAGATATTCATCATTCCAAATCATTGCCAAGTTACAACAGATCTATGCACATGATCTGCAACTCATGCAGCATCATATGTAGCACAAAGAAGAAGATAAAATAAAAGAAAGGGAGCACGTGCAATTTCATATTCATACAAAAGGCTCCTAACTCACAATATTCATAAATTAGCATACCATGTTATTCGAAATTGCAAGAGCAGGTGATAGTCTCACAACAAACTGGCTGGAATAGCATGAGGCATCTTTCTGTGTGAAGCAAATACAATTAGAGAAAATAAATTAGTAAATAAACAAAGCACAGCTCATGAGTGATAAGAACATGATCTTTTATTATCTACTTTTTTGGAATAGAAATGGCGGAAGACAGATCATTTCTTGTTGCATCTCAAACACGAGACATGAAAAGTATCTGAGGAAGGATAATTACCAGGATAAAGGGGATACCAGTTCCACAGCACCAGGCCCAACGTATTTTCCAAACAGTTTCTGAAGATTCGAGTATACCTATAAAAGGAATTAATCAGTGATCTTTTAAAGCAAAAACATGAGTGGAAGCGTTGATATTCATGATAAACAGTCATGTAATGGAGTCACCATCAATCTGTAGAATCTCTTGTTATCAATTAAGAGTTTGCCAGTGCAGAAAAGCACTCTAGCAACAATAACTGTTATAAAGTACATCTGGAAAGTTGTAATACAGTCCACACGATTGTTCTTTATCAAGGAAGAGTAGACAAGAATTTGTAAGGATGGAGAACCAAGAAAGAGTTTTGAGCATGAACCTTATGGTGTGCTTCAGCTGGAAATTGGACGAAAGGGGAGCAGCGAGGGGAAAGCAAATGGAAAGGAAAGAGTTCACATTGTTTGGCACAAGAGAAGTTGGAGGGTATTAGTTAAAGGAAGTTACGTGGGCTCAGGCATTCCCTAATTTTTGAAATCTTTGTGAAGTCCAGAAATGTATTCCCTTTTCAACCCTTACGAAGGAAAGGACCAAAACGAAATTATTGCATTTTCTTAAAGGAGGTCAAGGCAAATTGTTTGTTCCTCCATCATTTCCACTTCCTCCTTTCCTAGGCAATACCCCTTTGTCATAGTGCAATCTTGAAACTTAGTATTACCATTTGGACTTGTCCCTCCTGTGCATGGACTTTTCTAGTAGTCGCACCAATGTGATTGCTGCAGCGTCCATCTTCTGCAAAACTGAAGTTACGTTCAGCCTGAAAAAAATTGAGAAAAGGCTGAGTCAGTTGCACATAGCATGATGACATATAAAACAACAATACTCAAGATACTATTGGGCTTTTGAAAAAGCAGACACATCCAGTATTATGTGTATTGTTAACAACTCCTGATAACAAGAGCAATAGGAGTCAAATTTAGTCACATAGATTTGTTTTCGGGAATATATCCCTAGTATGATACCTAATTCAGGGCAAATCCTAGGGTTGTGATTCCACCAATATGAGAATGAATGTAGGACACTAGAGGCCCAACATATTTTAAGATAAATTAAAGCCACACAAAACAGGGTAAGATTAGAATTGATCACCTTAGATAGAGGGTGCAGGTCACACACAAAGATGATAAAGTTAAAGAATGTGCACGAAATGGCTTAGCTATAGTTCACATAGACCTCCAAATTCACCACCTCATTGATGCAACACTATGATGGCTAAAGTGCTACAGGGAGACAAGGTGGATTAAAATCACATGTACGGTAGTTACCTCAAAAGACCTGTAGATTTAAGTAAGACCAGCACAAGGGTAGCAAATGATCCATATAGGTGATACCTAGTAGGTTTTAAGGCTTAATTGTTGTGACACCTAATTATATGAGGTAGGGATAAGTGCGAGATTTAGAGAACTTTTAGGTTTAGAGAATCCTTAAACCACTTTAAAATGAATTATTTACCAGCATAGGACTAAAATTGGCTGGAATAAAGCGGAGTGAATATCAAGAATTCATGTGTCTGAATCCAACTAGTTTAGGATTGAGTAATAGTTATTGATTGATACCCGTAATGATGTGCAGGAGGTCCTCTCATCTTGATGTGACTCTGTTCTGATATATGAGTGAAAGTTGTCATTTATAGTTAGGAAAAAACATGCTTTAAGCTTTTAACAAATAACATAGGTGAAATCAGATATCTCTTTAAACTTTTACTATTATGGTTGTTGAACTAAATATACACAAGGCATAAGATAATAAGATGAGGAATGGAAAAGTTAATTTCCTTTTTTACCTTGTTATTTTCTTATACTTTTTGATATGTTATTCCTTATATCAAACCAAAAGTACAGTTTTTAATCTGGATGTTAAGAGAGCCATGGGTTTCAGATTATCTGGTTTCTCAGAAAGAAAATGGAAGGAACTGATTTGTTACTAGAACAAACTTCTGAGCAGTAGTAGAACAAAACAGAACTACTTGTAATGACACAAAATACACAAGGCTAGGCCAGATTGAAAGAGCATTTAATCCCCTGAAAGTAAGGTTCTTAAATGGGAAAGTTGACCAAAGACAAAACTTGTTGCAAGTAGCATAAATAGCCATATTTGCTTCCCTAACTCTCCACTAGTTAGTGTGAACACTGAGAAATCACTTCAAGCAAGGCCTCTACATATAATAAATCATGCACATTAGCATTTCACAATCGCTCCCTTTTCTTTGAACCGGTTCAATATGGCTGATAGACTTCGAGAAGAAGGATAGTTGAGTAGCAAAGAGATGACCATGACATCCCAGGTAAAAGAAACTCTCATGCTACAGTTGAACTGAAGAAAAACTTCAGGTCTAAATCTAATAGTCACAGACAATACATGGAAATAGAATATTACCTGCAAAAGTGATGACTCATACGCTTGAAGAGCCTCCTCGAAGGTACACATACAAGTGTCATTCCATGCCACCATTGCAGATAAGATAGAAGCACCTTCGAACTCCGCTAGTTCAATCTAAGGTGATATTAGTTCAACACATAAATAACAATGAACATTAGATAGAACGGAGGAATTATTCAAGTGTAAACCATGGCCATGCAAGAAGATCTCACTTACCTGGGGAACAAAGAAGTAGAATAACCCAGCTTCTTGCTTCATGGAAGAAGATATTGTATCAAAACTTAGGTCCAAAAAGCCATAAGCCACCACTGGTGTTGATTCAACAGCACAACATCTGCAGCAGCACCAGTGTAATATTAACCTATTGATGTCTATTAAAGACGACAGAAAAATCACATCTTTCCTTCATGTGATTGTAAAATGTGGAATCATGATATTTGTAACTCATCCTCTTTCTTAAGAGATATCAGAATTACATGCGATTTTCTTCTGAAAGACAGAAAGAGGGGTCAAACAGCAACTGGCTCATTTCATTGAGGGTACGAGTCAAGAATTAACCCCTTATAATCGATATTCGACATGATTAATAACAACAACAAATGCTGAATCAGAATTTTCATGATTCTGGAATTACAAGGACATAATCGCAGTTTTAGCCATTAGAATGTGATAACCACCTGATGTGGAGAGCTGAATGTCAGAGACCATTTTATAACATATTTGGATTCAATAGCACAGAAAACTTCCAAGAGTTGCTCTCTCCTCCCCCCCCCCCCCCCCCCCCCCCCTTCAATATCTCCGTCTCTTATGGAATTTCATCCAAAAAGACAGTTTGTTAATACAAAGAACAAGTACAAAGAATCATATTGATACTCTGCTCTGTAGGAAAGACAAACTTTTTATTCATGTAGGGGTCATGGAGTAACTCACTCTAGTGGATTATACAAAATCCAGTCATGATGCTATCACCAAAATTACTTACATTTAGGGCAAGCTTGGAAATACTACCTACCAAATAGAAATCTACAAGGATCCAATTCAAGGGTTCAAAAATTAATTAAATCCGGTATCCATAATACTCAGATAAAGGATTCGTTTGGCCTCAAAATGCACTTTCAGATTGCAAACGCTCCACAAACATCTTGATAGCAGAAAAACTTGCATGTATAATGCACATAAGTATATTAAATACTCTCCCATATCTAGGTATAGCATATGCTTCCCATATTTATCCCAAAGATTATATTGTGTTCAATTGCTCGTAGCAAATGTAGGGTCCATTTATTCTTCATTCTAGATTACAATCACCCATGGTATCCATCAGCAGCACTCCAGAATCATCTAATCCAACAAGAGCACTCCAAAATCATCTATTTCATTATTAAGCAATCTCATATGTCAAACTACCTCCAATGAAACTGTCCCCATGTTTTCAAAGAAAGTTGTTCACCTTTAGGCGAGATAGTTGCAGCTTTACTGCTGAGACAGTATAAAGCATTGCCATTAATGCAGAGTCGAACAGAAGCATCCATTTTCACTGACAAAGTTTGAGGTTTATACCTTCAAGATGTTTATACAATAAAACTGTTTCTTATCAACAATATTTGGACTAGTCTAGGTCCCCATAGTTGAATCATTTTTTACAGAAAACAGAATACAAGTTTCCTGAAATGGATCATTGTCTTCAATGCTTGCAGGAACATTCTTGAGCTCTGACCAACATACTTCCACATCTCTTCCACCTTTTCGCATTATAAGCAAGGAAAATTGAATTTTTCTCAAGCAGGGACATGTCTCCTCAATTGTCTATTGGAACACTCGTTCTCCTTCTTACATCCACTTTCATACAAGTTCCTCAAACAGAGAAGAAATAAGACTTTCCTCCATTAAACCTTCACTAAGTCTAATCCCACTAGAAGAGGTTACTTGTCTGCATCCATTGCCTCTTCATAATTAATTTTATAATATCACCAACTCTTTGAGGAAAAATATAATAAGATGGAACCTCAGGTTGCTCCATTTCCACCAATAATTGATTCTAATTACACTTACATTAATCAAGCTGGATTCATATAAAATGATTGGCGGGAATGTGAAAACATAAATGTTCAAAAGTTCAAAAGTTCAAAGGGAATGTAAAAATAATCAGTTATGTCAGAGCTGAAGTTGAAGCAGTGATGAAGGTCTGAAATTACCTTCCAAATTCCCCAGATTCTTTAGTGGCAGAAAATCCCTTCAAGTTGATTGCTGCCCCAATTCCAAAGATCCCGCGTGTATGACCCATTTCAACTGATTTATATGACGGGTTTTGCTTTTCCTTGGAAAGGAAAAATTGTGGGAATACTCCTGATGACTCCGGTTGACAGCAAAACCAATTCAAAGATTTTGCACTGGGAGGAACGGCAACCTACATATAAACAATCATCCTCTCACTAATCAAGAAAGAAGACCCACTTTGATTGTCTATGTTTGGAATAAATTCTAATCCTATGTAACCCAATGGCAGTATATGTCCCTAACAACATATCATCAACTAGACACTAAAACTTAACCAAGCAAACATGTATATACTGCACCCATAGACATTATTAGTTTGAACGAATTCAGATGACAACATAAATCAGAAATTTAATAACTTCTCTATTTTCTTTTTGGATCACTTCTAGATTTTTATGCAGCATCCTTGAGCAACGCGACGGCTATGCTAAGTTGTTAACCATCTCTATATCCCCTATTTAATTGGATGCTCCCAAAAGGACAGTTTAATGAGTAAAGTTGTAGAATTACTGCCTATCTAAGACTAATTACACAATAAGATCGGCCTAAGAGCACCACAGCTATCATTCACCTAATAAAGGTGCTTTTTAAAAATAACTACAAGGAAAATATACCTGGAATCTAAACATCCCATTAGAAGAACAAGGAGGCTTGGCCTTCAGCTCCTCCACAGCCTCCTTAATCTTTTCCAATCCTTGTTCTAAAGTTAAAGCCGGAGACAAATTGCGAGTAATACACGTAGAAATCAACAATGCTGCATCCTCTGGTTCCAATATTCTGTTTTCTTGCCGTGAACAGCGAACTACCTACATACACATTTAGAAAACACCAGAATTAATTATTACTTTTAAAAACAAAGAAAAACCCATTAAGAAAAAAGTTATTGTAAGAAAATTGAGAGACGTAAGAAACCTGAAAGTTTGGGTTTTTGCAGAGACGATGCAGTGTGAAGCGCCGGGAAGTGAGTAGGGGAAAATGGTGGTAATCGGTGACATTGATGATTGTACGGCGAATTGGGAGAGATGGATAAAAAGGAAATGTGTGAGTTCCGGTTAAGCTGTGAGAATTCATTACCGCCGGCGATTTTTTTTTTGGCAGAAGACGGTTAATGGAAGTTTTGATAAGTGAAGAGGATAAGGTGTCAGATTTTTTTAAAATAAAAAGAGAAATAAGGGGCCTTTTTATTTGGGAAAAAAACATAAGTAGACACTTTTATATAAATAATTACATATATATGACCATATTCAGTGAATCACATTTATGGCAATTTAATAGTTACTTCCTTAGCCTTTTTGCATTTTGAATAGATCGCGTTAAAATATGAGAGAAATTTAAGGCACCATGAATTCTTCAGTTCCTTTTTTTAAGATAAAAATAACTGTCATTCATAAGAATTCTACTACACGTCTACATCAGTGGTATCTTTCTTCTACAAACGACTGTTATTTGGGAGATTATATTTTTTTCCTTAAATTGAAAAATTATACTGAATAACTTATACTAAGTATGCATGATGATGCGAGCTGCTGCAATGTACTATCTGAAGAATTTGTGAATCAAATTAAACCTTAAGAGTGAACATACATCTCGACATGTCACACCTATTAATTTGGATATCAATTATAGTCATGTTTTCATTGAAATCAAATTTCTGACTATGAACCTAGTTCAAAAATAATGTCAGCATATCAACATCTATATATTGTCAAAAATATAGGATTTTATCTATTTACATTAACAATACAAAAAAATTTGCGCATGATTAATATATAGATTGATTGTACAATACCTGATTGTATTAGGCACTTTTTCTCCTCCGTGAATAAAACTTAAACTCTAAAAATAATTAATTAGTGACTAATTTGTGTATTATACTTTGAGAATGAACATGGAAAGGTAAAGTTATTGTATAATTGTTCATTTAGCATCATATGGTAGCCAAGTTATCGAGCGGGCAGCATATTAACTATCACAATCAGTATTGCAGAAGCCTTAGGCCAATGAAGTAGGAGGCACAACAAGTTAATACAACGAGCAAGTATATATTATGCTACAACAACCAGTGCTTTGTTTCGGGATGATGTAAAAGAAGGTTTACAAGACAATCAACCAATCTCTTATTGTGACGAATGTTTTCTTGTCCATAACATGTAATTGTTTTAGCCACAAGATCCTCACATTTCTACAAATGGAATATACTTTATATCAACTATTATACGAGTCATTAACTCGTTGAAGACTCATTTAGGAAATAACAAATCACTCCTCACCAATTGATCACTTCACAAGCGTAAATAAATTTGGCAGAAGCAATAAATTTTCTCCTTTTGACGTTGACACTCCGACCTTGATCTTCAGGAAATGCAATAGATTTTCCTTTTTTGATCTCCTCCAACTTTCTCCTTCTTAGGTACTCCTTTGACCTCTCTTCCTTCCGTCGATCAACAACACTATGATCAACTGTCGGTAATGGCAAAACACTATCACTTTGAATGTTACAACAGTTTGAATTAGACACAGGTATTGGAGACAACAAACGAAAGTTAGGCTCACCAACGAGTGTTACCATCTCGACAAATTCATCGTGTAGTTCCATTTCAGTTGATGAATCTTCCTTCACCATTTTCTAACTACTGTGTATAAAAGAAACAATGTACATCAATTACTACCAAATATGAAGCTTACCGGAACAATGTACAAAAATAATCGAATGAAACTCAACAACATTGTATAAAATTCCTACCTGAACTATGTGAAAAAACAATAACGTAAGCTTATATCAGAAGAAATGCAAAATTTGATACCCAATAGTGGGAACCAACCGTACAAAATTTGATAACTACCCAATAGTGGGAATCAACCGTTCACTTTTTTATTTAATAATTAATATATCTATATATATTAATAATAATAATAATAATTATTATTATTATCTTTAAACTGCTATATATGTAAAAAAAACGTTCATATTTGTAATACTGAAAAAATACTACTATTTATGTAGTTAAGTCTTAAGGATGGTCTTTCCATGTAATTTTTCCTCATTTTCAATAGAGTTTTTTTTTTTAAAAAAAATTGTGTTCTGTGCGTAAGAAAATATGTGACTATGTTAGGTCAATCAATTCTTTAGAAAGATGAACTCCTTAAAAACGAAAAGGAAAATAATTTTTTTAATAGATTTATATAATGTAATTTGTATAATATATTTTGTATAATTGTTTAAAGTTTATATGTTTATGTTAGTATCAATTTGTTATTTTAAGTTTTATCATATTTGTATAATTCCAGACATTATATTACTTAATTATACAAAAACACGCGAATTATACAAATGTAGCCGCGAATTATACAAATGAGATGTGAATTATACAAATTATTGCCCTCACTCGCTTACCTATCTCCTCTCTCTCCCAATCTCACTCGACTCTCTCCTCCCTCTTTCAATCTCGCTCGTCTCTCTCCTCCCTCCCCCAATCTCGTTTTCCATATATACAAATACATATGTATAATATACAATTATCTAACCGATATACATATACAATTCACCTCTCTCCCACTCTCTGCCTTCTCTCACTCGCCTCTCTTCGCTCTCTCCTCCCTATAACATATAGTATGAATTGTAATTATCAAACTATAGCTATGGAAAGTAATTAGACTATTTTTGAGTGGTTACATGCGAAAGTTTCCCTCTTTCTTTAATAACTTGCCGTACAAATTTCCACAATAATTTCTGTAGTAAGTTTTTATAACAAATTGCCATAATAAATTTCCACAATAAATTTTCATAACAAGTTGCCGTATCAAATTTTCCATTTTAAATTTTTAATTAAATATTGTAGTTATCATTTACTCCTATAAATAAAGAGCCTTTATTTTTTGTATTCAAAGCCAAATAAAGAGAGACAGCTATAAAGAGTAATTTATTGGTTACTTGAAATATAACTTTGCAGTATTTCTTTTTAAATAAATTGCTAGTCTTTATGTCATATTCATCTCAAAAATGACGATTATCATAGATTCACATTAATTAAAATTATGTATTCACTAGTTATTTGATTTAATTGTTCTTGGTTCCTTTTTTTTTTTTTTTTTTTTTTGAAGAAAATGTATATGCATTAGCATAAAAAAAAATTATCCAACAATGTGATATCTATTGAGACATGCTTAGCTTTTCGTTGAGTATGTCCAATAAACTATCACTAATTATATTAATCCAACATATTTATCACTAATATGTCAACACAATATTTGTATTACTAGTGTGATAAATAACATGATCAATAATATCCACACAAATTATGTCTTATTTTATACCAAAGTTTATTTGAAGTTGTATACATATACTTAGGAAAAGATCACCATAGACAGAGTATAGACTTGCCGGTAACACAACCATCATAGCACACAATTAAAACAATTGTGTTCTTTGACGATCATGTTTTCAGATATAGATATAAAAACATCACGGGTGATGAGGAATTGATCGAGTAAACAACGTGTTGACGGAACGTGGCTTGACAATAATATTACTAAAGCGATTACCATCAGTAATAGGGCAACAATCGATGTTATTTCCATTGCAACAAGGAATGAAGAAATTTGGTACTTGTCTAACTCCATGGGTTGATATCACAAAAAGGAACAAAATAAAAATGGCTATGTTCATTCTTTTCTCCATATTGGAATCTACTAGGTTGACCAAAAGTATATAGTATGTTTTTTCCCAATTTTTGTTTTTGAATTTGAGAAATGGAAGGTTGTTATGGGGGTACTTATATAGGTCATTTTCAATGAGACATATGTCCTAGTATTCGACCAAAATATTTAGCAATAATTGAGCTAATGTTATTACATCTGAAATTGTTAAAACCTTTAGAGATATTTATATAAAGTGTTGGTTATAAATATCTTATTATATTATTACTGCTAAATATAATATACCAATAATATTGACGATGAATACGAGATGAAATAGTATACAAATACTTACAACTAGAGACCCCATGTATGACAAAATGTCATATTAAAATTTGGTGAATTTGCATAGTTCATCTTGTAATCATCGACAATTGCAGTTGTGATAGAAACCTCTCTTGGAATCATCAATGCAACAAGGTTGAACAAAACTCTATTTTGTACGCTATCAAAATAATCTATATTATATATTCCTTCATTCGATTTATGTGGTATTATTTAAATTTTGAGAGTTTAATTAGTTTTTCTTTCATTGTAATTTTTTTTTAAGTATAAAGTACAGAAATTTCAACAATTTAGGCGCTAATTACCTCCTATTTCGAAAGTTCCCAAATTAAAATAATCCCAGATTTTTCAGAATCGCCCGATACATAGCAAACGATACATAAGTTATGTATCAGATACAAACCTATAAACCAGATTTATATAGATTTAGTTTTAAAATAGTTGAAGTTATGTACCAACAATAGCATATGTACAAGATACATTGTATACAAACAAAGTAGTATTAATGTATCTAATAAAGGTGGAGTGATGTATCCGGATGTTAAGAAAGATAAGGAAAAGGAGGATTTTTGTAATTAATTCAAATGGTAGGGATTTTATCTTAAGTCGTGTAATTATGTAATTTTTCCTTTTTTTATGTGTCTTATAAATATATATTTTGAATAAGATATTAGTGGCCACTATTTTAGTATAAGAGCAACTATATTTGACACTAAAACAAACTATTAGTGGCGGCTGCTATATGTTTAGCAGTGACAAACTTTGCCACTGTTCTTTTAGTGGCAACTATTACAGGTATTAGCAGCGGAGACAGTTGCCGCTAAAAACATTCTTTTAGTGTCGACTATTATGGTATTACCAGCGACTAATGTTGCCACTAAATCATTCTTTCGGTGGCGACTTTTATAGGTATTAGCAGCGACTAATGTTGCCACTAAAACATTCTTTTAGTGGCGACTATTATAGTATTAGCGGCGATTACCTTTGCCACTAGAACAAACTATTAGTGGCACCTATTATATGTTTTAGTGGCGACTATTATAGGTATTAGCAGCGACTAATGTTGCCACTAAAACATACTTTTAGTGGCGACTTTTATAGGTATTAGCAGCGACTAGCGTTGCCACTAAAACATTCTTTTGGTGGCGACTATCTTTGCCACTAAAACACACTATTAGTCGCGACTAATATATGTATTAGTAGCGACTATATTTGCCACTAAAACGTTCTTTTAGTGGCGACTATTATGAGTATTAGTGGCAACTGTTCTCACTACTAAAACTAACTATAAGTGGTGACTATTATGAGTATTAGCGGCGTTTATTTTTGCCACTAAAACTAACTATTAGTGGCGATTATTATATGTATTAGCAGCGACAAATTTTTCCACTAAAACATTCTCTTAGTGGCAACTATTATAGGTATTAACAACGACAAATGTTGCTACTAAAACATTCTTTTAGCAGCGACTATTATGAGTTTATTCTTGCCACCAAAACACTCTTTTAGTGGCGACTATTATGAGCATTAGCGGCGATTATTCTTGCCACTAAAACAAACTATTAGTAGCGACTATTATATGTATTAGCAACGACAACTTTTGCCACTAAAATATTATTTTAGTGCCGACTATTATGAGTACTAGCGGCGATTATTCTTGCCACTAAAATAAACTATTAGTCGCGACTATTATATGTATTAGCAGCGACTAAGCAGTGACTTTTCCGTAAGGTTGTGATTTTTAAAAAGGATACCATAAATAAGAATCTTGATTTGTGACGGCGCCACATAGGCAGGTCAGCTGTTGTAAACAAGCGCAACATTTATGAAGAGCGGCAAGAGTGGTAACAAAATGAACGGGAGAAGCAGTTGTTGAAGCCTGAAACTACGTTCCTATTGTAGAGGGGAAGGGCAGTTTTGGAAATAAATAAATAAAAAGAGAATTATTGCTTCGGTGGCTCCACGTCATCGGGTTGAGGGTTCTCTTATATATATATGATATGATTGTTATGTCATAATATTTTTTTATGAGTTTCTATAAATATTATTTATACATGTCATCGAACTTTGAGAAAATATTCATTTATGTCATTCGGTAGAAGTTTGACTCATATATGTCATTTTCGTTTGAGAAAAGGCCTATCCATGCCATTATTTGTTAGCTGAAACAAATAATGACATGAATGATCCCTTTTTCAAACGAAAATGACATAGATAAACCAAACTTTTAACGGATATTATAAATGTGCCTTTTCTCAAAATTCGATAGCATATATAAACCTTTTCCCTAGTAATTAAGCAGTTTTATGCAATGCCTGACATCTAATTTTTCACAAGAGTACTAAACAGATTAAAACGAGATGATATCTTATAGGTTAGGAATAACATTTATTAGCATCTTAAGTTTTATAGAATAAGGGCTATTGGCTCCAAAACAGTCAATTTACAAGGGATGTGATTCCACAATCAGTGGCTTTTGTTTTGTCACACTGACCACTGCTACACTAGTCCTGTTCTTGTGGACAAACAAATTCATTTTTTATCTGAACTATCATCAATTATTTATCAAAGCACATCTTGACCGGTAGTGGTGTACGTACACTTTCTCTTTTTGGTTAAACATGGTGTCAAATAGCACTCCACGCGGATAATTAAAGAAATACTATCAAATATATGCATTTTCTATCTGAACTATATATCACCAACTATTCATCAAAACACGTTTCGCTATCTCTTTGCATTACCACCTATTGTTTAGTCTTATGAACAGTGTTTTTATAATGTCAACTGGAGATAATAGTAACAGATAGAAGATGTGTGATTTTGCTAACTCAAGATAGAAGAAAAAGTAACCAATAACACCTGAAAAATGGTTTCTTGCTGTATAGTCCACAAACCACACATTTCTTGAATGATTTGATGTCCTTTGTCCTCACAAAAGTTAAAAATAGGATCATAGTGGATTGCCTTTTCAAGTGTTTTGCTTCTTATAATAGTCACTTAAATTATGAGCCACCATCACTGGCAGCTCCACCTACATTTGTCTTGTTGCTTGTGCTATTTTTGTGTGCAAAACAGGACTGATAATGGGGCCCTATCCTTAATTGGCTGAGTTCTTTATTTGGTTTCCTACTCAGTGCATTGGAGCTCAGATTTTCTCCACACTCAAAACCTCTGATTAAGGATGATCACCGCTAACTCATGTTGGTTGTCTGACTTCAATTAATGACCTAGGATCACTCATTTTGTACACTATGCTTTAACCTTGTTTATGTCCTTCTACTTATTTGTTAAAATTTTGAACAACTTAAATATTCCTTTTCTTGCCACATTCATGTGGTTATTAAGTGACTGAAACACTCCCTCCCATAACTAGACTATTTTCCCACTTCCGTTTGAATACTGTTTAGTGGCTATTTTTACTGATATTTTGATTGAATCAAAGTAAAAAGAAAAAAAATAGTAAATGGTTCATATGATAAAATTAGAAAGTTTCTCACTATTTGTGTGATAATCTATTTTCCATCATGAGTTTTTCTATTGAGTTGGTTGGGTGAATGGAAAACGAGTGAGAAAATCATGTTTTATATAACAAATTTCCCACCTATTTGTGGTGGGAAAAACCTTTGTTTCTAGTAGTGTCTATTTGTTTTTATTTGTCCAGTATTGACTTAGCGAAGACAAGTAGTAATAGTAACCATGGAGAAGAGAGTACGTACTACTAGTGTTATGCATGCAAACTTTAGTCATGGCTTAATTAACAGAGTCTGTTTCAACTAAAAATTCATTGGCATTGAGGTAAAAAGAGAAGAACAAAAACATTGAAAATATGTCCAGCTCACTCTAATTTTCTCTCTGTGGTGGATTGGTTTGATGATTCAGTCTTTAGACTACATGGAACGTGATCGTCGTCCATGTTGCTGAAAGGGCTAGCAACTTGAATGTTTGTAAGCAATCGACGAAGATCATAAGCCTCATCCTTGAGCTGCATATTCTCTTGAACAACTTTTTCATGAGATTCAGAGACTTGGTTTAACTTATTGATAAGATTATAATTTTCTGTTCTAAGACGAACTACTTGTGACCCTAACTCATCAAGGTGCCTTTGTTTCCTCATCCTTGATCTTCTAGCTGATTCTCTGTTTGATATCATTCTTCTCTGCTTTCGTTCATCATTCATTCTATGTTGTTGTTCCTCCAATTCATCTGAGGTTGAGTTACTACTGATGCATGATGGTTGTGTACTTATCAAGTCTTGAATAGGAAAAGAGAACGACTGATAGTTGTTGTTGTTAGTATTGGTTAGGAATGTGTTGAATTGAAATGTTGGTAAGTTTTTGTGCATGAAGGTGTAATCAATAGGAAGTGATGAGGGGTTTTCTTGAGCTAAGTAGTGGATTGTTGCAGCCTCTGATGAAATCATGATTGATTGTATTTGGAAGAAGGTTTAGTTATCCAATAAAAGTTGTAATGCTCAGGTTTTATAGAAGCACAAGGCTTGAGAAGTGGGGATAGAAGATAATAAAAGAATGCTTAATACATAAACGTGTCATTTAACTTGACGTCATCTGATATTATATATATGCCTTCCAACGTAACTTTGAGTGTGAACAAATAGACACACACGTTCTACTTGGCATCCTAAATATATTATGTCACATAAGATGCATATGTCTACTAATTGTTCAACTTTAATTTATTCATGTTTAAGTGTCAACTTGTCACCCAAAGTTGGAAGAATGTCAAGTTAAAGAGTATATTTATATATTATGTCAGTAGTTGATTTCAAGTCTAGACAAAGGGGGTGAGTTATGGTAAGTTGATGACGAGCCTTGAAATAATATTATTAAACTATTTAAACAATTCTTATAGCCTACCCCAACTAGTACATGGTTTATGCATATTTTAATGAAAAGGTATCATGTTAATGCATGTATGGCCATTTTAATACATTCATATCATAATGTTCTTTTGTTTTCGTATTGGAGTCCGACTATTTTGAATTCGCGTCACATACGGTGTTCAAAAACGCTTTCTATCAAGTATATTTTCATATTCAAAGCTTAAATTCGAAATATTTAGTTACGGAAAAAGCAACCTCAACGCATGCGTTGCATCTGGTGTGGAAGAAGTAAAAGAAGAAAACAGTTTAAAAGTCAATCTTAGAAGAAGTTATTTGCAAATTGAAAATCATATATATTAAAGTCTCACAGCCAATAGAAATTGTGAATTGATGACGAAATCTAGGTCAATGATGAAAAGTTATAAACTATTTAAAGCATGAAATTTTGATGATTACTTTTAACAAACGATGAGTCGAAAGGCACTTGAGATTGAGATAGAAGGGACCCAAAATAAATGTAATAGTTTATATTATAAGTATACTACTATTTAATATCACAATATTCTCAATATATTCCAAGCTTTTATTCAACGGATCAAAATCAGATGAATTATTCGATCTACTGTTGAAAACATAATTAAATAAAAGACAAAAAATCAAGTAATTTGTCTCAGAATTATATGAAATAGAATAAATTTGCTCCTTATGAATAATTAAGGCAAATATATCTTCGTCAATTTTCAAGAACTATGATCAAACATACGTTAAAACTTCACCAAAAATAATTTCTCAAAAATGTTTAGGAATTTATGGACAAACACAAGCTTACGATATATATATATAGGCCTCTGGTGGAGGGTACTTGTTTTCATCTTTTTAATTAATTTCATTGTGGCTCAAGTTTGCGGTTGTTCAAATAGATCCTTTCAGGAACTGAAGAGCCTTAATTAATTGACTCTAATCATCTTAGTATTTCCGCTGTTGTAGGTGTATATTCCCCCCTAATTAATTTCTTTGTAATCCCTTTTATATTATGTTATCATATACTTTTTCTGTCTCAACTATGTGATACTTTTGCTCAGTTAAATTACGTGTTTAGTATGAACAATTTAATAACTTTAATTTTATGACTTATTTTAGACCACAAATATCAAAAATATTGTTTTCTATACCTTCAAATACAAAGCATATATATAGGTGACGCTCGAGAGCCTATGTAGCAAGCTATCTTAATGTTAGAGTTTGATTTTAAATTTGTGTAACTAGATGTTTGATTTGAGGTACCCTTCCTTCCTAGAAGGTGATCAAAAACACTAGATGCTCTTTAGGTCGTAAATATTTGTGTTGATATGGTAATATTTTACATTTATTAGTTACCAAAAAAAGTGCATTACTCCAATGTCCGTACAAGGTTAATATCGTCATTTTGATAACTTGTAGTTTGATTAGACATCACCATGTTAGCATGTTAAGAAGAATGTATGCACTTGCAAAGGCCACTAATTGAGTAATGATCATAGCATTTTCGTGAAGACCCTACTACCTATATCTTTTTATTTATATACTATATATTATGTCAAACTTGGTTACGGTTACTATTAGAAGATGTGCAATGGCGGCTTAACGTTATTGGGGCTTAAAGTAAAATTTCAATTTGAGGTCTAAAATATAAACAAACTTCATATATGTATTTATTCAAAAAATATTTTTCTTACACCATTTAGATGAAAATTATTAGTATTTAATATTGTTTTTTCAATTATTAGTTTTAGGTAAGATTTTATCAACTAAACATTGAAAAATATCCTTTAAGTGAGACAATTATTATATGAATCATTAACATAGCTCTATAAGTAATAAGTTGACAAATATTAAATAAAGATAAGAGTTAGAACCATAGAATTTGACTCAAAAAATTGATGACTTGGTATACCACATTTTAATATGCTTGTAGTAATGCTTGAAACTAAAATTTAAAAAGAAATAAAAAAGAATTTGTATTTCACTTCGTTCAACATTTTTCACTATTAATTGTTATTTTCAACAAAGTACAAAAAATGTTAAAGTGAGTAAAATAATATATTTTTAAAAATATACTATAATAAATAATCAATTTTTTCTATAAAAATTTTGACACATAATTTATTCTTGACAAAAATTTGGGGTATTTTTCAAAGCATAGAGCCTGCCCTGAAGATGTGGTGCAGTAGATGAAGTTGTTCTTGTTCCACTGATTACTTAACCAGAGATCTCAGTTTCGAATTATGAATATGAAAATTTCTCGATAGAGAACGGTTTCCCCGAATGACATCCTATATTGTCCGAATCCGAAATAATTAAATTTCATTGGATATCAAAAATCGAATGACAAATCTAGAAGAAATTTTTTTTTAGTTATAATAATAAAACACTTCCCTTACCCACCACCACAACACCCCAAAAGAAGTATCTCACATTATAAAAAATAAAACATTTTGTGGTGACTAAAATCATTAAAAAAAATTGTCATGAAAGATTATTCATCACAACTCAAAAAGCTCATTAATTAAATGACTAGCTAGTTTATGAAATATTATTAGAGTATAGTTCCAGGAAAGCAACAAGGTTATCTTAATTATCATCAAAGATAACAAAATTTATGAAAATTAGGATCACTTATATATAATCCCTCAACTTTGAAAAGTGAAAGTATTTATCTATAAGATTTTGTAAAAAGGGAACATTTCTGATTTATTTGTACCAAATAAAAATAAACTTAGTTAAACTATGTAGGTTTAGACATGATCAGATTGGATACAAACTTAAAGAACATACGTGTATATATTTTTATCCACATACATAATATATAGTATAATATATAGTACAGTGAGTGAGTTGGTTGGTGGGGTTCATAAGCAACTATAATTTCTTGTTTTTCAATCAAAAAGACAATTTGGATTTTGGAATACACATATATTTGTTGTTAAATCTGTGTTCAAAATATTTAATCAGAAAATCGAAGTAAACTGAAAAATAAAAAAATAAAAATTCTTTAAGATGCAAAGAAAATATTTAGACCATAGAATTTAGTGTGTATGTCTTTAAAAAATTTAATTTTCTCCCAGAATAAAATAGATATACCAATTATTGAAATAGCAGTACCTCACATTCCAGTAACGTCAATAAACTCAAAAGTCAGCAATAATACGTTAGAAGAGTATTTCTATTTAAAAATACAAAAAAAAAACTCCTAGAAATAAACTTTATTTTCCCTCCATATTATTTTTCTTCATTTCTCAGTTCACATTCCACCTCTTCTTTTAAGACTTAAATCATAAAATAACCTAACAATATTTAATTTAAAACTTTGAAAAAGGGTGATCTACTTGTCTTATTAAGGTTATGGTTTATTTTTATTTGTTAATCATTTTTTATCAATCTAATCTGTTCTTGGTGGCCACTACCTTTTGATTAAAAAAAGTTCTTAACTTTTTAGTAATAAACAAATTAAGAAAAACATTATATGTTAATTTAAAACAAAAAAATCTTGTCAAATCTCAAAGGTGGCAACTTGCAACCGCAAAATGCATTTTCTTCAATTATTTTTAGCACTATATACTGACCACTATGCAACTCTCTCTGGACAACTCCATAGATTGGATAAGAACTAATCAGAGAAACAATAAATTAATAAAAAAAAATTAAAATTATTGACATTATCATATAACTCAGTATACCACAATTATATAAACATACTTGTAACATAAAAGATTTAATGATTTCATGAAATGATAACTCATGCAATCTTAAGTATCACAGTCATAAATATATATGTATCGAAGTCAAGTCTAAATTTTAATTAATCCAGAAATCTCTTCTCTTATCATGATCAATAGCTTAGCAATGACTAATTAGTAATATTACGCCTTCACAATAATATTATGAAAACTTGATCCTCATTAATGGTTATTAAGCCTCTTTCCTAAGTTACGAGTTCATGCAATTTATTAGCTAGGCATGATCATGAAGTCTTTTTAATTATTTCTTTCTAAAAATAAAACAATTAAATTAAAGGAACAAATAACATACAAACTCAACCTTAGTTCAATTTAAGGCCATCCCAAATCTTCATATATAGAATAAAACAAACAACAATTTTAGTGGGTGACATACATGATACATAGGAAATAAAAGGAAGACAAAATTTAATTGAAAGGACAGAAAATGACCTTTCATGGTACATTTCTTCCTTGTTAGTAATAATGAATTTTTCCACTATATTTAGGTAAAGGTAGTTCCCATAGACCAAGAAAGAGGGAAATAATAGAATGGTCTGACTAGTAAACAGGAAAAGAATATATATGATGAAGTTGTTACGTACGTAAGGGGACTCGGTTTAACATTTTTGCTATTAAACACCAACCAAATTTTTTGGTCTTATGAGTGCGACATAACTTTATTATTCACTAACCCCCCCCCCCCTCCCCTACTCCGAGCACAAATTAATAGTACAATCAATTTAAAACACGTTTCAGACATGTTGGAATTGTGAAATCACCATTTCAGGATTGTCTTGACCAAATGATGACCGTAATCCACTAAAAATTTAAGAAAATCTTTAAATT